ATTAAAGTACTGTAGAGAACTGCCCAACTGTTAGCCCTGTGATTTTTGCAGGGAAGTTCTGGTAGGTACGGGAGCATCGATGGCCCCGGCAGTCTACTCCTACCCCCGTGATGGAGCTGTATTCAGCCGTCGCACTCATATGGACCCACCTGCATGGGGACAGGGAAATGGAGAGGCAGACAGAAAGCAAGGGAGGCAGAATGTGTTATTCTGGTGGTTGCCAGAACTCTTTCGCCAAGGTCTGGAAGCACAGAGAAGCTACAAAGCGTTAAATCTCTTACGTTCATGCCCCAGGCATCAGGTGCGGTCCCTAAGAGGAGAGGTGGGGGTGCGCTCTCTCTTGATATCACCCTCTCTTCATTAGTTCCAGAAAGAGATTTTAAAAATATCTGTTCAAAGAACAGGAAAACCATTTCCCTGCCCGTTTCGGATTGTAAGTGATGTTTGTACATTACTAAGTCAATTCAAGATCGGCCATACAAAGTGCTATTAGTGTAATGCCTGATAATAGTTTAGAGCAGCAGAAGGTGCTTTAATGCAAATATCATGTTGCAGGAAGCGAGGTGCCTTACAGTAGCTGCTGTGTTGCTGCCGAGAGGTAGACCATTATTTTCTTGATTAGCAAATGTAATGTCTGCATTTTTCGTTGAATCAGTAAAGGAAACCAAAAATGTGGCCACTAAGCTTTTCTTATATATGCTGATATAATAAAATATATTAAAAATTCAGCAGTAGGCTTTAATTGAACTTTCTGTGATTTTATTTTACAGATCAAAAGTCTAAACCCATTGGGTTGAAGACATATAGGATGTATGGTAAAATTAGCCCATTTGAAAGCGAAAGGTGCATTCAAATTTACACTGAATTTAATGGCAAATTTATTCCCTTTCAAGATGTTTTCTAATAGGTGCTGTCTGAGAGAAAAGTTGCAGTGCTGGCCCAAAACTTGACTCTCTAATTTTCATCAAAGTAGTTTCCCTATGTGTATGTACGTATAGATGAGTATGTGTGCATTTTAAGAAGCCAAATTATCTCCGTGTCAAGATGTGTGAAAATCCCAATTTATAGTAAGACCTATGGGGTGGCAGACTGAACAATGTCGTCTTGTTCTCTCCTTCATCCCACTCAAAAAGCCCCCTATTTTTCTGAACAGAAGAAGAACGTTATCACAGTAATGAGCCTTTTTTCTTCCTGTCCGTACATTCTTTATTCCTGATGATGTTTAGACTGCCCCAATTTCATTACTTTCCAATATACTGCAGCATCTGGGTTTGGTAACTCTCTCTTCCAAAATCAGCAATGACTTCTTCTTGGCTACTTGACAATGGTGAATATTTTCAAAGTAAGTTAATCTTCTAAATTAAATCTGCTTGATTTATTTATTTTTAAGGCCTTTCGTCTGTCTTCGTGCTTCTTGATTTGTCTCCTGCTTTGTCAGCGTGTGAACCTTTAGCACCTGAGGTCCTCCAGAATTGAAGAGTTTTCTCATTCTTATGTTACCTCAGTTGTATTCCAGTGGTTCCTGTGACACATCCTTTGTCACTGTATTTTACAATTTCTTCTTGTCTGTTGAGAGTTTAGCATACTCAGAGTGACATATAAATAATAATATTTGAGGCAGCAAGCGTTAACTAAACAAAAAAGGTAATAAGTAATAGAAGAAAAGGTACCGACTTTGGTCGGCAGAAGAAAGGATACAGGACTTTGAATATGACTACATGCAATGAGATAAGATTACTAGTAAAATCCAAATTTATGTGGCTGGAAACTAGTTCTAAGGACAGTTAAATCCATTTTAATTTTGATTATGTTTGCATACAAGTTCAGCTGTTTTTGATGAATGCACTCTACACACCCAGTTAAGTTAGTTAATCAGAATTTTCTGTAAGCATCCATGAGAAAGCATGCCTTCTGTGTAAATGCAAAGAAGAAAGGTATAGGAAGTCATTCACAGTTTTGGGCAAGCAAGAACGGCTATACTGAGTTAGCATAAAGCTCATAAAACCATACTGAATCAAAGTAGTATAATAGTAGTAGCAGGTATGCAAGAGAGGAGTACAAGCAGCAGGGCATGTGCAGTGATTCTGCCTCTCGCATAACTTCCCAGTGTTCAGTCATTGATGGGTTTTGGAGACTTACTAAGCCAAAGGTCTGGGATGTTGTGTTTTATAGTATATGATGCATCTGTTCTCGATGAACTTGTCAAATACCTTTTTGGACATTTATACTTCCAGTCTCCTTAACATGCTTTGGGAATACTTTCCAAATCTTAATCATGCATTACATTTAGGAAAATACAGTTCTTGTTGCTTGCTAATCATTTTCTTGGTGCCCTGAGTTCTTACGTTAAGTGAAATATCTGATAAATAATGAGAGTACATTTTCCCCATGATTTTGTATACTAAAATAGACGAGAACCTAAACGGACTGCTTAGTTGCTCTTTCTAAATTTTATTTTTAAGAAAAATTCCAAGCATGGTTGGTATTTTTTGCATAGAATGCATTTTGTCTTTTTTCATGTTATCATATTCCTTCCTAAAGTTTGTTGCTAAAAATATGTAAATCAAAGAGCATATGTAGTTTAACCATCATGTTATAGATGCTGTATTTACAAAAGTCTTCCAACTTTCCGCTTTATAGCACTGATAATAATTTAGCCTACATTCATGTGATTGTCAGTATGTAATTTAATTTTTAGGCTGTTTAAATGCTCTGAACTTTATTAAGTTTGTTATGCTCTGAATTTAATAAGAAGTTGGAGTATAGGAATTTATAGTATGTTTACATGCATGAGTTAGCAATGTTTGCTGACATGATTTAGTTGCCAGTACATGGGTGTGTAGTACCTTTTTGAGATGATTTTGGTGCCTCACCTGAGTCATTTAGAGCTGCTGTTCTAGGTGTTATGCTCCTCTGTGATATTTACTTGCCCCGTGCTGATGCTTTGGATACCAAAGGGCATCTCCATGGGCACTGGGTAACTACACAAGAGCAACAGAACTACGGCCTTGATTTGGGGAGGGGGGAGTGGGGGGACGCACAGGGGATTTCTGTGATTGATAGTATTAAAGACATGACTAATACAAGTAAGTATTACTTGAAGAGATCAAGACTGTCAGGAGTCTTCAGCAATAAATGCAGCTGTTGTTGCTTAATGGCATTTCCCAACAGCTGGTTACAGGTTAGCATCAGTAAGGAGCGTGGGGGAAGGACGGATGCAAAGTGCAGAGTTTTGGGTGGACTTGTCCTTACTTAGTCCGTATTCTAAAGTCATCCTGTGTAATAGGAAATAATCTGGCGGGTGTATTTGCCCAAATAAGTTTTCTGAGTCCACTGAAACCTGGAAATTCCAGCAGAATGCTGATGGTTGTTGGAGCCAGGGTTATATTATGAATTAATGGCTTTTCTGGGCTTCATTTGATGACCTGGCCTAGAAAAACATTTTGAAGTAATAAAGCGTCTGTTTGGCTCCAAACTAATGAGAGAAGCATTGCTCTTTGCATTAACTGTTCTTTAGGAAGAGCCGTGGAGAGCTACTAATAAACCTTATTAAAAAGCTTAAGCAAGATTGAAGGAAATAGAAAACAGAGAAACTGTTCCATTCTGTGTGAAGTGAGCACATCAAAAAAGAAAGGCGGGGGGGGAACGAGCCCACAGGGTTTTTGCCTCCCCTCCATGTGACGTGCAGCTTGCTGCACTTCAGTTACATTGCCTCTGAGATGTGTTAAAGTGCAGCTCAGTTGAATGAAGAAGTGGATAGGAGAAATCAAGGCTAGAGACTATTTACGGCAGAGATTGGGTAAGTAAACGCAGCTGTAGAGAAGTGTTTACTAATATTGTGCAATTGTTACAATACCTAGCCTGTAGCATTTAAAACAATACTCAGAACTGTCATTTGTTGGTGGTCCTTTCTTTGTTTTACTGAAGTAATTTGCAAGTGTGAATGGTATGTACTATGCAATAGATCTATGCGTAAGACTGATAAAGGATTTAATTTTATTTTTCATACTTCTTACAACAAAATAAATAACTTTCCTATAATTCCGTGTACTTAGTTTTAAGTTCTTTGCGATGTAAATAACTGCTTCATCTATTTTAGTGCAGTGCTTAAAATAATTTCAGTGGGAGTTAGCTGATAGTTTCTGGTGCCTTCCTGTTATTTTAATTATTTTTCTACTGGTGAGGGAGAGGGGAGAACAGCTTATGCTCTGAACCTCCTAGATGCAGCATTTTCAGATTTCTAGAATCCAAGTCCAGACCACTGAGAACTCCCCAGCATCGACTTGTTCCAGGAATTTGTTCAGCCATCCTAGTAGGATATGATTTCAGCTCTTTGCTTTTGTTCGCTGTGTATTTGTATAAAGATTTGTATGTGTTTTTATACGGAGTTTTATATAGAAAGTTCTGTTTTAAGTTTATTGTCCTGGTTTCGTCTGGGATAGAGTTAGTTTTCCTCCCAGTAGCTGCTGTGTTTTGGATTTAGTAGGAGAAGAATGTTGTGTGTTTAAATTTGTGTAAATTTAATATCAATGTACAAGATGGAGAAATATGATGAAAGCTTTTGTTGTTGTTTAAGACCTATAGGCTTTTGATTTTGATATGTTTTTGTCTCTAGTAATTGTAACGGACCTTGCAGTTGCTATAATGCTGTTACAAAATAGCGTTGCAATCTTGGTCAATTAGTGATTTCCAGAATGGTTGTTGTAGCAGTTTCAGTGCCTGCCATTTGAGTATTTGGATTTCAGTGCATAGACAAAGAGCTGAGAGGGAGCAATGATCAATGTAGATTGCAAAGACCTATATTGAAGCCTGATTCGAGTCTTGGGAACTGAAAAAGAAAAAGCAAACTCCCTCATTGTTGGTAGTGTAAGTCTTTAATATCTTGCAATCTAGGGCATGTCTTCCTTTTGCATCATCTCGCAGGAAAGAGTACATTAAATATTAGTAGTCTATCATGATTTTTACTATCTGCATTAATCAGAATGCGTTATCTTTTCCAGATAATCACTCCATTTAGGAGGCTGATACTGTGTGCTGAGAACAGAAAAGAAATGGAGGACTGGATAAGCTCTCTGAAGTCAGTTCAGTCCAGGGAACACTATGAGGTAGGTTGACATCTTGGTGTAACCTGTTCTAGCTCAACAGATCAAGCTACAGGACACATAACTGGAGTATTCACCCTCCTTAGTATGAAAAGTGTGTCTAATGTCAGGGTGAAGCTTCATGTGAAGACCTTTAGTAGCGAAATGAGAACTTGTTATCACACTTTTGTTTAGAAGTTTGGAGGGAGAACAGGCTGAATACCCTTTGGGAAATACTTGTGGTGAACATTGCATTGTCATCCCCTGTAATATGGAACCGTAGGTAATTTCAGTCACCGTAGCTGTGTTCTGTACTTGCAAATTTGTCTTAACTTCTCCTTTACTAGACCGCACAGTTTAATGTGGAACATTTCTCAGGGATGCATAACTGGTACGCCTGCTCCCATGCCCGACCTACCTTCTGTAACGTGTGTAGAGAGAGCCTCTCTGGAGTCACTTCTCACGGCCTGTCTTGTGAAGGTAAAAGAAACGCTTTCTTCCCCCTGTTTATAACACAGCTTATGTAGACAGATGGCTGGAAGTTTAAGATGAGTAACGATTCTGAAAATAATGAGTAAGAAAAAGGTGTGAAGAGAGAAATCTATTCACTAGAGTGACTTTCTTTTGGGCAGAGGGACTGCCCAAAGATAGGATTTATTTGATTTGCGCGTCAAAAATGTGAAATAAGACAGTCTTCCTGGTTTGCAGAATCAGCATTCCTCAGGAAGAAAATCATAATGGTAGTTTCTGCCCAAAATCTAGAAAAATTCTTAACACTTTGTTCAGCTCTGTGATCTCTTCCCCTCCAATTCTTGCTTGCTCTGTTGCTGCTGCCTGATCCTGCAGGACAGATTTATTGCTTTAAAAATTCTCTCATGCAGTGGGGGGGGTAGAGAGGTAGATGCCTTTGCATTTTGATGGTTCAACAGATAAAATCCAGCAGAAAGAAAAAGGAGGTGTGGCTAAGACTTCAGCATTAAGCTTATCTGGAGAAACGATATTTCATGAACAAATATTTATAATAAACCTGAAAGAGCTTGCTTATTTTCTGCTGGAAGTTCTGTGAAAAAGTGGTGACAAGTCTGCTTGTGTTAGAATCCGGCAGAGAATAAAGTATCCGTGTGACCTTATGATATATATGAAATGTAGAGATAATTAATTACCAAAATAGATAACTTTCCAGAAAAGAGTTACAGTTGCTCCATTCAAAACTTGATTTTTTGGGTGCACGTTCCCCAAATGCAAATGCATTTCTGTTATTGGTACTGTTATAATACTTGAGGCCTGAGCATAATAGTGTGTATTAAGGAAATCTTACAACGGAAAAATTAACCCACTGCCCTGAATTGTCCATGCTTTTAATGTAGCTGATGGGTGCCAAGGAACGGGATGAACCCATTTCATAGAAGTTAGAAGCAGCATAGTTCCTTCCAGCTTCTCTGGTGTATGTTTTCCACTGCGTAGAAGTTGTTTGGATGGTTTTAAGGCAATTATGGTATTTTCAGTGCCTGATATTGGCAGATGGAAATATCATATGCTTAACTAAAATGCAATTTTATTGCCTCTGTGTTTGAATACAGCTGTATTTGCTCAGGTAAAGGAAAGGAAAGACTTCTTTCCTTTCATGAAGAATTTGTCCTTTCATAAGTTAATATGGTAGCTAAAAGGCTGTTTAGCAAGAATTATTCTTGTAAGATTATCAGTGTTAATGGTTGTAGCTCATTGTTTTCTGTTTTTTCAGTGTCTTACTTTGCTTCTAAGTATGGTTTTAATTTCCGAGGTGTTGGCGTTAGCTTTAAATCAAGGAAGTTTCCTTAATTTCCAGATTTGGACTTTGTCACCTCTCTGCATAACTTATTGCAAACTAATGCTACATTTGTTCACATTTCTGATGCCAGTTAATCTTTCAGCAGTTTCTGTGAATGGCTTGTGAAGGTAGTTTGGATTTGCTTTCACTGGTCCAAGGTTTCATAAACGTGTGTGATCTGGGTTGGTTTATAGGTAGATACTATGATACTGTTTTGTCCATTAGTAAGTTTACCTCCTCTTACTTCTGAGCTACTAGTTTATATCTATTTTATTCAATTTTTTTCCAAGTATTTTTTTAAATAAAAGGAGAATGTTAATTATGCATCTAATCTAAATCGTTTGACAGTTGACTCTTTTACTGGAATACTCATACGTTGTCCCCGATTTTGTATGCCTGTAAAAAGCCATGTTAACCATCCTTCATTTCTTCATCCAAGAAGTGTATTTTGGTTTGATGCCACTTCTTTCTCTGAAATTCTTGTGTGACTGAGTTCATATTTACTTGCTTCTGCCATGTGCACTTCTAATGCATTTTGTGATCAATTCTTTTGACTTACCCTGTGTTAGCAATAGACACTGTTTGAGGAGACGATGTAGGAAGTATGGAGCCTTAAGATTCCCAAGACATGTTATGTGCTACTTTTTCTCATTACATCTTTAAAAAACCTGTTAAAATATTCATGCCTGGCATCTGAAACCTCTAGCACTGCTTTATGCTGAGAATCCATTTATATCTATATTAAATTCAATTATTTGTGTGGTCATTGATCCCAGGCTACTCTATTAGATTTTGTATTGAGAAGCATGAGAGGCTGCTTCTCAAGAGATACTGAAGCTCTTCCTTCTCTCAGTGGTTTGAGTTACTGGCACACCAAATTATCCTGAAAGTGGCTTAGAGTCTTTGTACTCTTTGTGGTCTGATTCTTGACTATTAACTGTAGATAAAAATAAATCCCATCACTAATATTTTGCAGCTTACAATACTTTAGAAGAGCAGTCCTGTATTAGTTTATTCTCTTAGACCTACTGGTCTCCAGCAGCACTACACAACTGTTTTTTCAGCCTGACCACACAACAAGCCTCATTTCTTTTGGAGATAAAATGGGTGTCATCTTTTTTCAGGGCCTCTTCCCTCCCAGTAGCCTTTGGCAAAGGTTGACCAAATGAATTGCAGGCCACCCTGAAGGTATTCCTGTAAGTTTTGTGGAAGCAAGTGTAGGAAAAGAGGGTATGTTAATACCTTTGTTAGGGAAAAGACTGTAGTGTGAACTTGTGTCTTTTTAGAAGTGAAAGAACCAATATGTGTATCAAACCGAAGACATAAATTCATATTGGACCAGGCTTGGTTCTTTCTACTGCTCAAAAAACAATTGACTTAAAAATTTTTGTCAGGCACTCCTTGAAGATGCAGTGCTGTTCCTCCCCCTAGTTCCTCCTTTTGTGTCTTCTCAAAAGATAATCTACGATTCAAATATTATCTGTGAGGTGAGTTGCCCTAGCTAGCTCAAAAGAACTGATCTCCGCAACATTCATCCACAGTCTTTACTAGGGCAGAGACTTTATAGTGGTTTTGCCTTGCTTTGTAAATTACTCCAAACTAGCTTAATCAAGTAAGGCTTTTGTTCTTTCTGCTGCTCAAACGATTCTCTTACTCAGCTTGCTGTATGCTCAGGAGTCTAAGCCTAAGAAGTTGTCAGGTAAACACAGGGATACGTGGAATGTTTAGGCAAAGAAATCTAGAGAACTGTACATCATTATCTACAGAAACTCTTTCAAAGCTCTCTGGCCTCAATTACTCCGTATTAATATCACATTTCTATCCAAGTCATTGCCAGTGGAGCACTGCCTTTATGATTGTTCTCAAAGATATATTTCTTCATGGAGTGTTTTCATTATCACGACTGAATCTTGATTGTTGAATATCAAGTATATGTAATAAGGTGGAGATTGCCATTTAAATGAGATGCTTTCTCCTGTGATGAATTGGATGAACAAACAATTTTGAAAGAACACTTTGGGATTGTGAAGTCAAACAATAAGAAAATACTGGGATTAAATTGCCTCTGCAAATGCCCTTTGTGCACTTGGTCTTTTTGCATTATGATTGGGCTTTTTTGCCCACAAAACCCTGTTGTTCTTACCCACTGCACAGGGTATTGTACAAGCACTGCTTGGGTAGTCCTTGTCTCCAGGATTTTTGCCACGTTTTCTGTGCAGACTGGGGAGTGAATAGTGAATGAAGCAGTTGGGAAGAGAAGGGATGTTCATTGTTAAAGGAGTAACAGAAAACTGTTCTGTGACTTTGTATCACACTGTGCCCCTCCTGGGGGAATCACTTAAATAAGATTTTTTTGTCAAATCAGTGGTTGTGTGTTGTTTGTAATCTGAGACCTGTGTCACAGATATGCTTCATTTTCTATAACTGCAAGTTGAAGTTGTTCTGAAGTCACTGATACTTTGAAGATACACAGAATTGAAAAAAAAAAAAGGGCTTAACTATAGTAGTAGTATAGTAGTACTGAGTGTAATAATAGTAATAATAAGAATTTTAAAAGGCTGGGAAGAAATGCATATTGATGTCTAAAAAGCAGCATTTCATTAGCTTTTGGTAAATAAGGCAAATACTTGTTGAAAATTATATGGCACAGCTGCATACTTATCAAGAACCGTTGCATGCAGTGAATGAGGGTCCCGTTCTCAAAAACTGTGTGATCATATAACTGAAGACTTTACATCTGTATACAGAAGGTATATTGCAAAGCTACATTGCAAAGTTAAATTGCATGAGTAACTCAACTTTGTAGTACTTGACTTTGTAAGAAGAGTATTCTTTTAGTGCTCTGTAATATTAAATTAACTTAGTGAGTCAGTTATTTGGGTGAAAATAGTAAAAACTACCAAGAAACTGCTGAATTTTATTCTTTACAACATAGACATAAGCTTTAAACTGGAGTGAAGCTAGGCTGCTGATTCCACGTGCGTCACTCCGTTTTCACTGTGACTTGTCCATCCGTCACGCGATAGTATGCCTGCAAACAAAACAGCAGGTTTCTTGGAACACCTGAAGACAAATCCTCCCATCTTGACAACATAAAACTATAGATACTAGCTCAGGGATCTTGAGATCAGTTTCAAAACTTTGGCTTTGGCCTTTGAAGTTGGAAAGGAACAGTCTGAGCCAGCTCTTCTGTGAAGAGCACAGAAGAGAAAACTCATCATAAAATAGGTGGTAGAGTGCCAAGTTTTGGGGGGGAAAAAATTGAGTGTCCTGCCAGTATAGCTGAATTAATTGATGGGTGGTTAGAATGAAAGGCCTTTGAGACAGAAGTCTTCTATAAAAAAAGTGCGTATTTTCAGTGCAAGAGATCCTACGATAACATTCAGTAATGTTGACTTTTCTTCATTATAGATAATAATCGCTCTAAATTCAATCACTGTGACAGCAGATGTTGGTACCACTATGACAACTGTTTGCTAATTAAGTTCTCTTCGTTGGCTTTCCGAGAGACCTGATTCATATTCCAGCTAGAAACATTTACACAGGAAATTAAAATTTAAAATAACATTCGACAAATATTCTAGATTTGGTTTGGCTATACTTTTCCTTTTCTCATCTTTTAACTTTCATTGGTGAAGTAATGCCAATTGATGTCTAGCAGTATGCCTGCATGTTTTGAAAAGTTTTCAGATATCAGACTGATTCATGAATGGGATGCAGTGTTGTCTGAGAGAAAATAAATTAGAGGGTGGTGGTAACCAAGACTGAGATTTGATTTAATATTTTGCTTTCTATACCTGTCTCTTCATGTACTGCTGTGTATTTTGCTCAAAAGTTACGTCTGTGTCTTAAGGTCATTGTTTTTGGTAATGTTTAATGCTCAGAATAACATGAATTGTTGTTTGATGATACTGGGGTTGCAGGAGGGTGACCTGCAGAAAGTCTGATCTAAGGTTTGATAAGTTGTATACTGTACCCACAAAGCAAACATTAGCTGTTGCTTGGCGTCCATGGTCTGGCTTGTTGCAGCTCTTTGGATCCTGGGTTTGAATTTGTCCTTGCCTCCTTGAGAGAACAGATTGAGTACAGGGTCCTGAGATCTAGCTCAGTACGACCTGAAAATTGCCGTACTTTGTTATGCCTTCATGATTTGGAATTTCCTGTTGCCCCTCATCCCTGATTTATTGTATTTTGATCTGTGTGGCAAAGACAAATGCATATCATTTATGAGTCGGAAGCTGAATTCAGTGGCGTATCTTCTCCAAAACATTGAAGTGGCGAAACTGCTCAAGGCCCATCACTTGCAAATGCAGCCTTGATTTCTGTGCCTCTGAGAGAGCTGACTGCTTTAGACACGTGGAACCAGCTGAGGCTGGCAAACACACAGTATGATGCTGAGCCGCTTTGCGAATGCGAGCCTACCCTGTTAGTTGAGGAATATGGGATATTTGCACACTTTGCATCTATGAATACTGCTTTTTGAAATGATCAGGGGAGTTACTGTAAAAGCAACAAAGCTCCTTTTTCTGTTTCCTTCTCTTTCTTTGAGCTAAGCGCGTACTTTCATACATCTCCCAGAACAGGGAGGATTGCTTTCAAACTCAGATGTTGCTTATATAGTCTCAATTCACTTTTTAAATTGATCTGGCAATGGATCAGTGGAATTAAAATGAGAAATTTGTGATTCGCAAGACCTTTTGGACCATGGCTTAATGTTTTTTAATGGTGGACAAGTGATGGGCCAAAGCTTTTGATAGTTTCCTGTCAAATATTTGTTTGAAAAGACTACTACTTCTGGTCTGCTGGCTAGTTCTCATAAACCTTTAATGGTCTTTGCCAAAATAATTTATATAATGCACTCTAAATAGAATGATGTCATGCACTTCCAGTAACAGAAATACCCACAGTTGGGTGCATCAGTCTGTTTGGTCTAATATGATATCATTAACTAGTCATATTAATTGAGTTGAACGAATTGCAAATAGTTATTAGATTGTCAAAATGTCTGCCGGTGCTACACCCTTGTGCTGAGTATTCCAATTAGTAGATTTTTAATAAATAATCCAGTAAGAAGTCAGGCTCTTCCTCGCTTAATGTAACCTCTTGGAAAGTATTGCAGCCACCAGTATCCTGAATAAATATATCACCACCTAACCCTTCACTTTCTCAGCTTCTGGGAAAAACAGGCATAGTACAGTGCTCAAAAGGGATCTTTTAAGCAAAGAAACAGAGCTCCTGAAGCAAAATACTTCTATGAAACACTCTCTCATCACTTCTTGCAAATTTAAACCAGGTATCTGAGGCGTGTCAGTGGAGGAGCAGAAAAGGCAAAAACACAGTTAAAGATGTATTTGTACCTTAGGACCTTGCATTGCACCTGAAAATTTGAGGACACGCTTAACACGGGGTACAGCTAAGCAGTTAAACCCAGTTGAGAGAGTTAAAGCTGGAGTGATTATGAACTGAGTTTTCTCTTAGCTGGCTTGTCATGTGCGCACCGCTAAGTGACAAGTACTTGGCTGTTTTATGGAATATCTTTATTTAATTTTTTTTAAAGATATGTCTTCCTGAAATACAGCAAATAACATAGTGTACATGTTTATGTGTCCCTTCCAGTGTGTAAGTTTAAAGCACATAAAAGATGTGCTGTCCGAGCAACAAATAACTGCAAATGGACTACATTAGCCTCAATTGGGAAAGACATCATTGAAGATGAAGATGGTGTAAGTATTATTCATATTTACAGTATTTTCCAAAGCTGTTTTCTTCTGTATGGGGAAAAAAAAAAAGGCTAGGCATAGAACTGCTGCCCTGTGACCCACTGAAGTTAATGGCAAGTGGCTATATTCCTGAACACTGTTCGAAGATGAACGTGGTATTTAGAACAAAAGTTATATTCCTATCTCACAAGACAAGTTTAGTATCAGTGGGCACTAGACTGCAGCCACGTTACACGATTTTAAAGGCCACATGCAGAGAAACTCTGAAACTGGAGAATTGCTCCCAGAAGTTCCAGCTGCTTTTAAGCAAGGGTGGCATTTTATGCTGTTACCATGCTGTTGTGGCAATCTCTTTTGTGTCCTCCTTACCGCTAGCTGTTCCCCAGGAGGCTTGTTTGGAATTCACTGGTGGGGGGGGGAGGTTACTGATGAAAGCAGGAATTTTAAAATTAGTGGGAGAAATGACAAAAGCTTTTCAGAGGTTTGTTGTGATGGATGGGTTATTTTTACAAAAACAGCTATGTACGTGCCACTGGCGTGAAACTTCTTCCTAGAATCTTAGTACTAAGTGGCACACCTAGGAGAGTCCCGAGTTGCCCATGGTATTAATGGCACAAAGAGTGCACTGAGTTAAGCTTTGCACTGCGTTTAGGGACTGCTCTGTAGAGCTGTGGCTTGCCAGCCGTGGCGAGAGGGTACGTAAAGCCACAGAGGTATTCTGCTGTCCTGCTTATTCTTCTGGTTTTTAATTATTTTAATTGGTTTGTGTCATGTAGTTGACGTTAAGTGAATGGGTACTTATTTGTATTACGGAGTTTCTGGATTTAACTGGCCTCTTGTTTTGTGGTTTGTTGCTACCATAATACAATGAACAGTTGAATGAGATGTGTCTGCCTTCTCCAGCTGTCACACTTTCTGCCTAGAATGTGATACATCACCATAGTCCACGTTCATAGCTGTTGCCTTGTGAGCATCAGTGTCACTTATCTTGGTCAGCCATACCTGCTTCCTTGATGAAAGGGTAGAGCTATGGAAAATACTTTAAATCTAACTGTATTTGAGAGACAAAAGCCTCCAGTTTCTATTTCTGAGTATTTAACTTTCATAACTACTTCTTCACAGATAGCTATGCCTCACCAGTGGTTAGAGGGCAATCTGCCCGTCAGTGCCAAATGCGCAGTCTGCGACAAGACTTGTGGCAGTGTTTTACGCCTGCAAGATTGGAAGTGCCTTTGGTGTAAAGCTATGGTAGGTGCAATGAACCACGTCCAAGCGTCTAGGATTTTGCCAGCTTTATTGCTCGCCACTGTTTTTATTTTGTCATTTCATAACTGTGCTTTTGGATTAAGTAGGAGCAGGCAGCTTGTGCAAAGTCAGGTCTCTCTAACATTCATAATTTCTCATGACTGTCCTGCTTGCTTCAGTTAATTTTTAATACACCCACAGATGCATCTTTTCTTTAATAGGTGTTATCATCCAGCATGTTTTCTTCGCCTTCTCCTAACTGATAACTGACGGTTCAGATGTCTGTTTTGTGTGCCTGCTAATTATATGTTACTTTCTTGTCTCTTTTATTGTAGATATTGCTGCAATAATATTTTAGTAACATTTAGTAATGTTAGTAATATTAATATTTATGAACATTAATGTAGTAATAATTTTATTACTGGAGAATCTTGAGGTTCTCTTCTTCAGGAAAGTGTGTAGGTTGTTCATTGAAATTCTATAGCATGTTATTGCTGTTTCCCCCAAATACAGTTTTCGCTTAATTTTTTTAACTTGTCTGAAAAGATGGGTTTCATGTGCTAGGGTACAGAAGTGGAAAGTCAGCAGCTTTTTTATTGTTGAAGCTTTTGGCATGTAGATGGCCAGGGCTCTGTATGTAGGCAGTGGGAAATGACTGGCATCTCCAGAGATGATTTCAAATTTAGGTGAAGTGCAACACCCTCTGTGTGTAGACGTTTTACCAATAACTACGGAATAGACCTCTACAACACATACTTTATGGGGACCCACCTTTGGCGGGTTGGTCTGGCTTGGTAGGTGTGCTGGCTTTAGCGTCGATACGTCTTCCAGAACGTTGAGTTGGACCAGGCATGTATAGAGCTATAGGTCCTCCCTTGCTCATGGATGGAGGTGAGCGATTCCCTTGAAAGGACGATTCATATCTGCTATTGGGGTAGCTGGAGATGAACTGCCCCAAACTTATGTTTTGTGAAATGAGTACCAAGCCTTTGTGGTTGAACACTCGTATGTTTTTTTCCAGTCTCATTCCTCTTCCCTCTGCCCCTAAATGTTATGTGTTAGTCCATTTTTGTTACATAGATAGTATATCAGTTATACTTTCACCCTGAAATTCCACTGCAAGGAAATAATGTTTTGTTTCTTTTGTAGGTTCACACTGCCTGTAAAGATCTGTATCCTCGTAAATGTCCACTTGGCCAATGTAAGGTATCGATCATACCTCCAACAGCACTAAACAGTATAGACTCTGATGGTACGTAGTATTGTAGTCTGTTCAGTGGTAGCTCTGGACTTGCAGTGCCTAGTGAGATCTGTATACCTCAACAATCCTTCTGCTGAGCAGGTGAATGCAGTCTTCAAATTTGGAGAAAAGTATAATTTTCCATGTAGCTTTTTAGAGGATTATTTAACTATCAGAATTTTAAAAATGTTCTTGAAAATTCCCCGGCTGGAAATTTTCTCCTGTTGTATTTGTGACCGTTGGAAACTTTTCAAGTTAGTGACCAGAGTCCTCAGATAAAGTGGGCTGCTGCCTGCCTGGCGTGCATCACTCACTCCGTAAGTTCTCACATCTTGGATAACTTTGCATTATGCAGAGGTAAGCTGGCTGAACGTCTCAGATCCAACAACTACTCTACCAGCCTAAAGAGAGGAATTGCTTCCATAGCTTCTCTGAATTTCTTTTAAATATGAGCAGTGTAAGGATCCTGCAACACACAGATAAAAACCCAGCAAATGTTCAGAACTCAGAGGTGCTCTTTGGTGGCTCAGGATAGAGATGCGTAAGCAGTGGGAGACTGAACTTAAAGGCGGGGGAGTGGATTTAATAAGGAGTATCGTGAAATCTAGCTGCTTAAATTTTATAGTTTGTGTTGATGGTAAATGTAGACCAACAACTTTAACACAAATTAATGAATTTTATTTTGTGAAGTTAGTAAAAGTGATTGTTTATACTGTGTATATTCACTCTATTTACTTGCTGTGTGGTGTCTTAGACCAGAGTGTTATACTGCTATTTATTAATCATGCTAGGAAGGTTGTTGCATATGTGAAATTATTTTTCTTGGCATTTAAATCAATTAATCAAACCTTATTTTAAATCATACATTAAGATAATGTGGAATTAAATTAGCATCCTTTAATGTTAATTTTTTATTTGTAGCTTTCTTAACTTTTATAGGCAACTCAAACCAACATAGTTAGTTTACTATTCCATGAAACAAATGTCAAAACCTATATCTGCAATGTCTGATCTTGAAATGTTGCTGAGACACTACTACTGCCTGGACTGGTTGTGTTAGTGACAGCAGCGTCCATGAGTACTACTTGCTAAGAGCCTTAGAGGAATTCTGCTGTAATCGGTTAAGACCTGCATTGACTTTAATAAGCTTTGGATCACAGCTGAAGGTCTGTTGTTCAGTTGATTCTATTATGATTAATAGTATAAATTCAGTCTGAGAAAAAAGTTCTCATGCCAAGTCTCACCTGGGAGCAACTGAGTGCAGTAACTTTTAAAATCTGTGGGTACTCGTAGAAAGCTCATGCAGACGTGGATGATCCACTTCAACCCAGTAAGTTAAAGAAAAACAAGATCAAAAACCAAACACTTGTAACTGAAATACATACTTAATTATGTGATAATCTGAAAGATGAGATATGAGAAATATGCTAAAAGGTTAATAAAAATTTTCACTGTGGAAAATCAATATAGCTATTGTCTTCAGGATTTTACTAAATCTAGGCACTGAAAATACCGAAAACATAAAAATGAACAGGTAAACCTTGAGCAATTATGTTTTCCTTGCAGGGCTAATATTCAGTTTAGCATTTACATTGTGCATGATAAAATGTAATCCTTTTGTCCTTCATCCCTTTCTTCCTCTTTCCCATGATTTCTTTTTGTGTTGTTCATATTAGAAAGCCTTATTTATTTCATTCTTTCTAACTATGTTCACAGGTTTCTGGAAAGCCACATGCCCGCCGTCGTGTGCCAGTCCTCTTTTAGTTTTTGTTAACTCAAAGAGTGGAGACAATCAGGGAGTAAAGTTTCTTCGTCGATTCAAACAGTCGTTAAATCCAGCTCAGGTGTTCGATTTAATGAATGGAGGACCTCACTTAGGGTAATGACCTTGGGAATCTTGAGTAATCCTTTCCGCAAGGGAATTCAGTGCGAAGTGTAGTGTTGTGTTGTCCCCTAGTTGCCGTAATTCTATCACAAATATCTACTGTGACTTCCTATTAAAATCTAAGAGATAACAGAATTTCAGGATGAATTCTGGTGGATGGAGGGTTTGTAGGATAATGTTTTCTCTTCAGAAAAACTCCCTTGAAAATTCAAAACCTAGCAGCCCAAGTGTTTTGTGGCTTTTGGGCTAGCATTGATTTCTGTTAACTGGTAAGGTTCAAAACTGTTACAAATGTTCAGATGCTTTCCTGAATCAGGGCCTTTATGCACAGTTGTCCGGGTGCTTTTCTTCCATTTCATATGCGTAATTCAGCTGTTCCTGTGACTTTATTGTGAGAATAAAAACTGTTGTCTAAAGGTACTCTGTATCGTTTTGAATTCTGAACACACATGTCAGTGTGGGAGTCTGTGGTGGGTGATGGACAAGTACGTTAAAACTTTTGTCATCTGAAAACTGCATTCAAAATATGGTTTAGGCAACATATGCAAATGGTCAAGAAAATGCGCATCTCACAAAATTTGGAGCAAGAACACAATTAAAACCATCAGGCATTCTACAAAATCAAAGGGTCGATTGTTGGAGAGATAGGGGTGAAATTTGCATAGTGGTGACCACAACCCAAGCATCTTTGCACATTCATAAAGATTAAATTCATGCACATTTTTCTGTGCCTAACTTAATTCCACTCAGGTGTAGCATTGTGGTTAAGTGGCATATTCATATCAGTTACGGCAACTAGAAGCACTAATCTTTTTACTCTTTAAAGATGCCGAATTATGCTTGCGTGATAAAGATGTATAGATGAAACATGCACAAAAATTCATTTCAAACAGTAGGCAAATAATATAAATATAATGGAATACAGCTGTGGATTTTTATAATTAGTACTATGTTATGGACATGTTATATGAATTCTTTAAGATGTAATATTCTTTTCATTATAACCCTGATAATCTGAATTTAATCTAAGTCCCTTTCAGCTAACATTTTGTACATGTGATTATAATGACAGATGAAAGTTCATTTTAATTGGAGAGAGATTTCTGAGAGAGGACAGTCTGAAAAATATGTCTGCCTGTCTGCAAATTCTCTTGCTTCATATAGTTGTACCTAACAGCTGCATGGTTCAGGAGGCTTACTTTGATTTTGCACAGTAATCGTAGGTCAGGTTGGTTGCTTCTAAATATTTTTATCAAAACAGTTTCCAGAGAGGGGTCCTTAGTAGTTATTCTATCAGGTCATGCTGACATTGGGGTTTTTTTCATAGTTGATCTAAAAAGCAGAATTGCATTCTTGGAGACACTGTTTGTAGGGGTTTTCTCCCTTTTCCCGGGGTAGGAGAAATTGTTGTGGTATCGGCATTTTTTTTTCCCCTTATGTATCTGCGTCTTTTGTTCTGAATAGGCGTCTGCCTATCGCATACAAGTGACATTATTTTCTTTAGAAAAAATATAAATGCTTCAAAAATTTGTGATCTTAATATGTTGCTTTTTAGACATAGTTCTGAGAGCATACATATTCTGGGAAATAACATGCGTTAAAAATAAGCATCTTTATTAAGAGTTTATACTTTCCACTTCTTCTTTGGTTTTTTAAGTTTAAATCCCTGTTTTTTTTACCTCTTGGCTGTTTCTTCACATCTCATTCCCCTTTCCTCTGTGTCTCGCCTTTCTGCTTGCTCTGTCTCTTGTCCTCCTGTTCTGTACTGCCCAAGGGTTGTATCCTGGAGGTGTTAGAAGCTGAAGAACATGACGAAGAGCTGTAGGAAGTGAAAGCAGGATACGTCTTTAAGGAATTAACACGAAATACTTGTACTACATTTGTCTTATGTGGCTGTGATCACCTTATGTGTAATAATTGCCTCCAACGGTCCTTGCATTGTCGCGTGTTGGCAAAAGCCCACCCGTATTGTGGACCCCATCCTGTCGTAGTGTCTTAACCTCTTCTCATGAAAAATCCCCAGTGGTGCCTTGTGCTTCTGGCTGAAGTGGGAAGCATAGGGCAGTTTCAATTTCATAGCTTTAGAATATTTTTTAAATATTAATAAAATTAATAAAATAATAAAATCCTGAAAACAATATCAAGGGAAATTTTTTTAAGTAAAACTTGGCATGTTATTTATCAGAAATGTCAGTGTAAATGGAGTATGCAGCAATAGATGGGATTCAGATAGGTTTATTAAGTAGATGGTTGTATTCACATGCCCCAGAACAAGAAAAGAAGGACCCTAAAGGTGCTGTGCACCATATTTGTCGTAACAGTTGCTAATGAATATAACTGCTCTCTCACTAATGGGTGTAACTGGCTCTAACAGGCTGTGTTTTCTCTGCAGCTTGCGGTTATTTCAGAAGTTTGACAACTTCAGGATTCTTGTGTGTGGCGGCGATGGAAGCGTGGGTTGGGTCTTATCAGAAATTGATAAGCTCAGCTTGCACAAACAGGCAAGTGTGCCTACTTACTTTCCTTGACTATACTCACTAGACTTCATTTTGTATGCCTACTTTTCCTTGACTTGGTTCTTCGTCATATCTCTGTATGTGGGCCAAACCCATTAGTTGCTGTTAAATTAAAATTCTCACTGGTGTAAAGAGAACAAGTTGTAGCGGGCTTGCACAATTTGATTTACAAGCTTTAGACATCAGCTATATAATCAACATTTGCTGCTCGAAATAACAAGCATTTGTAATAGTTTGTACATTTTCTTTCTGGCTTTCAGTAGTAGATCTGCTCCTGTGTTGTCTTTCAGTGTCAGTTAGGAGTGTTACCTCTTGGTACTGGGAATGACCTTGCTCGTGTCCTTGGTTGGGGAGGATCCTGTGATGATGATACGCAACTTCCACAGATTTTGGAGAAACTAGAACGAGCCAGCACGAAAATGTTAGACAGGTAAACTGGAATGTGCATATACATGATTTACCATGAGCTTCAAACTGTATTTGTTTGGGTTTCTGGTGGCCTAAATCCATCTTAGAGACTTAGTGTTCAGTGGTTTTGGGTTTTAGGGTGCAAATCATAATCATGAGGGAAATCAAGATAGTAATGGGGACAGCTCTTCAACGTCCTTTTTACTGAAGAGTCAGAGGGGAGAGCAGTTGATGAAACTAGGAAGCCTGTTGTCCAGAGGTGAACAAAAGGAGACAGTTTATTGTATGACTGATGAAGCTGCATAACAAGAAGTTGTAAGCACTAAGAAACTGTATAGATTCAAAACCATTTGAGGCAGTTTTATGGACTCCATACACACTGTTAAATGCCATTAAAGGTACCATCTTTACCTAGGAAACACCTGAGCTGTCTGTCCTCAGACGTGGGGAGAACTCACATCGTGTACTTTCACCCTTCATACAATTTCCTGAGGGATGAGCTGTGGACAAGATGCTGGGCTAACTGGATCTTTGACTCGATCCACTACTAATATTTCTGTTTGAGGCATTTTCGTAGTCAAAAAAGAGATATTCCCACTCCTGTTTTGTGTGGTTTCCATCCATAAAGCAAAGGAGGAATCCCCATTTTAAAAAAGTGGGAGAAGATGATGGCCATGTCATTGCGATTAAGGTGTAACACTATTTTTGAGAGGGGTATTTCTTAACTCTGTTCCTTGTGGGTGTTTCTGTTCTTAGTCTGGTTACACACACTTATATGTCATCAAAGAGGATTTTATTTTAGGGTTTTTTTATGCAATAGAGAAACAAGTCCTTTTTTATTTTAAGCTTTTTTGCAGACTACTTGATCATTTTACAGCAAAGTATGTAGAGAAATGTTGGTTACTGATCCTTAGAGATAATTTTTGGCCTGGACATTCTGAAAGATTCGTAGATGAAATCATGTTTGCCGCCTTCTGTACTGAAAAAAAGCTCAGTTTCATTTTTTTTCTCTAATTTCAGTAGACTTGCTCCCAAGGCCATCTGCAGCAATTTCTTGTTCTTTACAGCAGGCTTTGAAGGATGTTGTTGTTATTGGTTTCATATTATCTATGCTGTACTGTCCTTTACCAGGGGACAAATTACATATATGTCAATGAAGATACTTCACCGTTTGCGCTGTTCTCATGCCTGCCTCCCCTAGTTGAGATGAAAAGCTAATGTTACCTCAGAGCTTTTTCTCTAGGAATGGGTCTATTTTCCTTTGACTTCTGCAGTTAGTTTGCACAAACTCTTTTCTGTTGTGAATGTTGTGCTGGAAAACCTTTCTTGCCTGCGTTGAATGTCCCATGATTTGTTCACAAATATGGCTAATCATCAAATCATGAACAAATAATCTGAGCAATAAACAAATTATTACCGTTAATCTCGATTATTTCACCCATATGCAATTAGCTTACAATTAAAAATTAATTCATTAAAGCCTTTTTTTTAACAAGTTATTCTGTGGTGTGACAATGAATTTTCTTTTTGTTGAGATGTTGGAGAAAAGACAAAACTAACAATCTGTAAACTTAAAAGCTGTTACGTTTCTTTCAGGTGGAGTATAATGTCGTATGAACTGAAATTACCAGCAAAGCCTTCTATTCTTCCAGTGACGGCAGAAGAGTCGGAGGAATGCCAGGTGGGCTTTTACTTTTGCTTTGCTGTTTCATACACTTAACTTTGAGCTTCTGGGATGACAATACTTATAATTGAAGCACTTGTCTGAAAAACAGAAGCAGATGTTTTGTGATCTCCTAACTGAACTGAGTTAACATCTGTTCATGGCGTGTATCTCAAGTAATTAGGGTTTCCAGTCCTGTATTATTTGCTAAAAATGAATGAAGGTAAGGAGTCTTCAGCAGAGCAGTCAGAAAAATTTCTTCCTGAAAAAAATATATTTTCATATATGTATTTTATATGCTATAATAATATATATAAATATATCAAATATATTTTTAGTATATATTTAAAAGCAAAATGTTTGCTATCTTGAGTTTGGAATAATCATTGAAAAAACCCCCAGCATTTCAAAGGCAAGGGTTGTATTCTGAAAGAAAGAGAAAAGCTTTTTGCGGCTTGCGTTAGATCAGGTGCTACCACACAACTTTCTCTTTGTTCTTTCAGAGAGCTCGAAATCATAAGTGACCTCACAGAAAAGCTTAGTCTGCCTTTCAGGCTAGATTTGTGCTGGTACTGTCTGATGAGGTTTCAATTTTGAGAGAGAGGGAGAAGCTTTAATCAAATTAATTGACATGAAAAGTCTAACTAAAAGTGAGAAAATGATATATTCCTAAGAAAGTTAATGCATATCAGCTTTAACTCGAAAGTACTCGAGAAGCAGTAATTAGCAGGTTCTTGAATAATTTAATAATTCAGACTGTTTTAGTTGGCAAGGAGGTTATAACCTTTGACAGCTTTCTGGGTATAGAGATGCAAAAAGGCTGGGGCTCCACTGGCTGGGATTTGAAGGGGGTTGCCTTGTGCACAGCTCTGTTTCCAGTGTCAGCAGTGCAGACCAAGGCTTTATCTTCTCTAATTTTTAAGACAGTTAAAATTTTCAAGTGTATCTATATCTTGTAAAACAAAAAATAGACATTTTGTTCTAGTTAGTTTAGGCTTTGAAATTGTGTTTAGCCCCTCCTGAAAACAGAAGGAACTGCTCATATAAAACTTCTTTTTTGGAAAATCAGTTCTGCAAGCTATAGATACCTGCCATTACTCTGAGTTGGACAAAGCCATTTTCTTCGGAGTACCCTGTTCAATCTTTATTTTAATGTGTTTTTCGTCGTTTAATGAGTTATGATATTTCAGAAAAAGAATAATTAACCTTACAGTAGGTAATGTATTAAAGCGCAGTTCCAAAAGTAAATAAAAGTACATATTTGATTCATTTTTCTTTTTTTTCCCTTTCCTCCAGTTTCAGGAGACTTATTTCACTCGGTTTGGTTCCAGAAATCTTATACTGATGTTTGAGTAGTTCATTCTTACAGAACACATGGTCATGTCTTGTTTTTTCCCTTGAAATGAAAACTGATTTACTGTCAGAGTCCTACAACTAAGGCTGGGTCTTAGGAGAGAAAAAAAGGGTGATACATCTACCCGCTCCATATCAAGGACTAAAACACCCTAAGAGATTTTAACAGGTTCTTCAAGGAAGTCATCAGGAAATTACAGAACTGCATTTATTTTTAGCTTTAGATTTGGAATTTGGTTAGAATTTTCTTTTAAAATTAAGGTCTGGATCCATATCTGTTTTGAGACAGGACATAGTGTATGAAAATATATTTCTGATCCATTCTAAATCTTTTCATAGTATCACAGTATGTTAGGGGTTGGAAGAGACCTCTGTGGGTCATCTAGTCCAACCCCCCTGCCGAAGCAGGGTCACCTACAGCAGGCTGCACAGGACCTTGTCCAGGTGGGTCTTGAATATCTCCAGAGAAGGAGACTCCACAGCCTCCCTGGGCAGCCTGTTCCAGTGCTCCGTCACCCTCAGAGGGAAGAAGTTCTTCCTCATGTTCAGACGGAACTTCCTGTGCTTCAGTTTGTGCCCGTTGCCCCTTGTCCTGTCGCTGGGCACCACTGAAAAGAGTCTGGCCCCATCCTGCTGACACCCACCCTTGAGATATTTATAAGCATTTCTAAGGTCCCCTTTCAGCCTTCTCTTCTTCAGGCTAAACAAGCCCAGCTCCCTCAGCCTGTCCTTGTAGGAGAGATGCTCCAGTCCTGAGTATGCCAGAACTTAAAATTCTTCTGTGCAAGAAAAGATGGACAGTGCACACATTCATTCTCCCAAACGTGCTTGTAAAGACTAAGCCCTAAATGGTTTGCTCTGTAAGGACTGGTTTTGATAAAATTACACCAGTTCAGCAGCTGTTGTCAGAAGGGGTACTTGGGGAGTAAGAGCCCATCTGACAGTAAAAAGAAAATTGAGGATTGTAGCTGCCAACTTTTGATTTGTTCTTAGTGAAGCAGCTTAGTTGGAGGTAAACTTTGCTTGTTTTAGAAAGAAAAAATAGTAGATTATAATAATTTAGGTTGTTATAAATCTAAAAAGAAGGTAGATTTATTTTTTTGCCTCATGGACTATTTTTAACCTAGAAATAACTTACTTTTTTTTGTACAGGAGTATAAGAGCTGCGGATCAAGTTCTCAGATACGATGTTACTTTGAATATTAAAAATCTGGTACATAAAATACAGTATGCAGGTAGAATCTGCATTGCCAGCTGCTTGTCCTTGTATTAGATCTGAAATGGAAATCCTGCTATTTTTGGAGGCATTTTAACTCACTACTTCATGTTAAACTGCTGAAATGTGTGGAAATTGAAGTCTTTTTTTCGCTCTGTTTTCAGATATCTGCTTATGAGGACTCAGTTGCTGCTCATCTTGCAAAAATTCTCAATTCTGATCAGCACTCAGTTGTCATATCATCTGCCAAGTGAGTTGATCGGGTTTATGTATCATGTGTGGGATAAATCCCCTGTGTAACATCATCACCATAATCACCTTCTGTCTAAGCCTGATTTTCTTATGGCCAGCCTGACTGGGTTGGCTTAGTATGTCTTGATTTACATCTTTTACTGTGGATATTTTTTCTGCAAAATTTTTATATGGTACAGTTGTAGTAGATAGCTTAATACTAAACACATCAACATTAAAAAAAAATCACATAATATGAATACAAAATGATTTGAAATCACTCCATATCAGTGCGCAGCTTAAATATGAAACTTAGTGTTACTATTGTGAATATGTGATCTACTTCACATTACATTTATTCTGGGTTTTTTTATAAATATCCATATCTTTAAGAGGACAAACAATTTCACCCATGTGAAGCAGAACTTCAGGTGAGGTAGCTTTGTCATAGCTCTGTCTATATTAATTGAATCAATAGTGGCCTCAGAAAACAGGGTTTTTTTCCCCAAACTGAAACACTTAAAAATGAGAGATAATTACTTGGCAAATCATGGATGTCGTCTGAAATCAGATGTATTCGGTGTATACCTTCTCTGTAAAGATAACATCTTATGTTTTGTGATGTGCAAAAGACCAGTCATAGAATCTTCAAAAATACATCTGAATGTCATTGCTTATATTTTTTTTTCTGCTAAAAGCAAGTTAATAAAGTTTCATTTTTAAAGTATACATAGCACATGTTGAAAATTAAACTGCAGGATATTAATATAACTCCAGATTCTAAACTGAATCTGCATCTTGTTAAGTCTGTTTAATTTCTGTCAAATAAATTTCAACCAAATGAACAGTACTAAGCAATTATCCACGCCTCGTTACTAAGTTTGCTGTCTGTCTGCAGTGTGGGTGATAAGAACTAAGTCTTTCTCTGAGTTGCACAGTGGAAATCCATCGCAGCCCCTGTAGTTTGCATTGATATGCCTCAGGGTCAGCGGTGGTTCAAAAGCATGAGCAGTGCAGTGGCACGTGTGTGGCCACATGCTTTCATCTAAGAAGCGCCCCATTAAAGTCCGTGGATTTTCTCCGGGGTTTCTGGGCTTCATCTTTGCATGGGAGTTTGCAAGACTGTGTTTGAAGTTACCAAAGTGAATGCAAGTTTACTAACTCCGCTGGTGTGGAAGGTGTACAAGCAAGGGAGTGGATAAAACTAGTTTATTTCAGTTCTTAGAAATAAGAGACTTACATACAATGTGTGCAAAGGCTTAAATAAAAGGAAGGAAGAGTTTTTGTTTTAAAGCTTATCACTTGAGTTTTGCAAGCCATGGACAAGAGTAATCATCCGCTTTCAAGTATGATCACAGAGTTCAGTTTCCAACAAGACTAATGTATAGCAGTATGCATATAAGTAGATTACTATAAGAATTTAATATTCAAAGCGTATCTATTTTATTTCATTTGATTTTTCCCTTCTCCTTTTTTTATCTGAAGAATATTATGTGAAACTGTAAAGGACTTTGTTGCCAAAATAGGAAAGACTTACGAGAAACCAATGGAAAATGCAGAGGAAGCTGATGCCATGGCCATTAAAGTAAGACTGTGACTATATTCTGGTTTAAAGTTGTAGGGTTTTTAAAGTTTATAGCTCATGGGTGTTAATTTTCAAATTGTTCCAGGATACCCATCTTGGCTTTCATTTCAACACAGGACTTCAAAATTTTTCTCTTCTTACTGCATAGAACAGTTATTTCCAAACCATCTTTAAATTCTATCGTCTCTATAAACTCCGTTTACGCATTTTTCTTCCACAAAGGATAAAGTTCATGGTAACGTACACAGAGATAAAAGGAAATATTTTGCATTAGGAGTTAGTTTTATGGATGAAGTTAGCTACAGGAGAACAGTGGGATAATGAAGAGGGAGAATGAAGGGAAAAGACTACAATGTTAAAAATAATAGTTTAAACTGCAGATTGTAGAGATCATGTTACAAAAGCATTGCAAAAAAAACACAGTATGATTTGATATGAGGCACAAAATTCACATGAACTGAAAAGTAAATGAAAAAGCAAAATCACTAACAATCCCAGAGTTGGGAAATGTGCTTGCTAAATGGCAATTTGTCGTTCACGTTTCTGTTTGGTGCACATTTTAGAAAATGAATTTTTCTTTTTTACTGTTTCAAAGCCAGACAGTGTTGGTTTTCTTTCCCTTAAGCACAGAAAATCATCTGTTTTCCAGTGTACCCACAGAGAGCAACTGCTTAGTGATGGGTAGAGGCGTTAGTGTTTGGTTCAGGCTTGAGCCTCTCTGCTCTGTGACAGCTCACTTGCTTAAATGTATGGCTGTGTTGCAAAAACAACCCCATAGCTCTCAGTCTAACGGCTGGGCAGGTCCCCATAGATTATCTCTCCAAATTGGGGTACTGAGCACCTGTATTTTCTTATAATGCATGGTAGGGGCAAATCTGTGGTGGTACTCTGTGCTGCAGGCCATCGGGGAAGGAGTAAGACCTAATCTGTACCCTAGATACATGGCAGGCTGAGTGTGGGGTGGTGTGTTACTTTAATCTGACTTTAGGGGTGTTTTTCTTACAATTGCTGTAATATGGTTGGGTGTCATAGGGTACGTCTGCAAAAAAGCCCATGCAGACCTACTCATAATCTGATGTTCCAAATGTTGAACCTAGGTTTGGATTTTACATAAACAATTACATAGACATGTAAAACACTGACAATTGTAAAGATAATCTGGTACTTAATTTCCTGAAAATGTTCACGCATTCACTGCTTTTTTTGTCTGTCTATTCTTTTCCACTTTGTCTTAGTGCTCGGAGTTAAATGAGAAGCTAGACCTGTTGCTCCAGGCTCTTCACACAGAAGCCCAGGCTGCTCCCATTCTCCCAGGCATCACTCCTCCCATTGTGGAAGAAGAAGCTGAGGAGTTTTCAAGCGAAGAATCCTTGTCTGAAAGTAAAGAGCAATTAGCAGAGTGTGTCTCAAAGTCTTCCACCCAGAAGTTCTTCAAACCAAGGGAGCAGTTAATGCTCCGGGCAAACAGCTTGAAGAAGGCGGTGAGGCAGATCATTGAACAAGCAGAAAAAGGTGCACATCAGCAACGTTTTGATCCTTACTGATAGAATAATGATGCTTTTTTTTTTTTTTTTTGAAACGAGCATAACTCTTCATTGTTGAAGTTTGATTTCTGCATTCTTACATAAATAAAATTATGTGCTTATTACAAGCTGCAAGGAAAAGAAATGCAGCTTGTTTGGATGTTGATGACTGTCTGCATTTATGAATACATATGTATGCACGTGTGTGCACATATAAAAGTGTGCTTCTGATGGAACTATTATCCTCCAGAAAATGAAAATTTCTGGCAGCAAATCTTTATCAATGGGCAAAGGATTGCTAGGCTCTTTCGCTGAATTGACAGTAGAGATCTTTTGTTAATATTTTTAAACTTAAAGCTACAGAAAAAAAAGAAGCTAATTTTCCATGTATGCAGTTTTTCTTTAAAAATCTTGAAAATTTGTCTTCTTTTTTAATAAGCAGTTGTGGATGAGCAGAATGCTCATAGTGAAGAACAAGTGAACCAGTCTCCACTAGAATATAGCAAAGAATTGGATGAGTGCAAAGAAGAGGAAAAAGAAGAAGATACAAAGGAACTTGAGTCCCCATCAAGTGAGTAAATTAGGAATAAAACAATTTAAAATTGTGCCGTCTCCTGTTAGTTGCATCATGGTGCATAGTCAGCTCCATAATTAAAAATATTAGCATCCTGTTTCACTGGAAACTAGTCACAAATTTTAATAGGTTTGGATGAGTAAGGGAAAAATGCACGAGATGAGACGAACAGTCTTTTGGAATGGATTTACGAAGCTGAGAAGCTATTTGTTGGTGAGAGAAGTGCCCGCATTTAATCCAGTGTTTACAGTCACCTTTCTGCGTGAACCGGAGCAGGGACTGGAGTGTAGGTAATGGTGTGTCATGGTTTTGGCTGGGATAGAGTTAATTTTTTTCCCTGTAGCTGCTGTGTTTTGTATTTAGTAGGAGAAGAATGTTGAGAACACTGAAGTTTCCAGTTGTTGCTATGCATCAAGGACTTTTCCCAGTTTCCCATACTCAGCTACTGAGCCAGGTGTGCAGGAGCTGGGAGGAAGAACAGCCAGACTGACAGCCCAAGCTGGCCAATGGAAATATTCCATACCATAGACAGCATGCTCAGTTTATGTATGGGGGTTGGCTGGGGGGGAGCAGGGCAGGAATCAGCTCTACTGTTTTATGTGAGTTCGAATCATCTCTTTTCTGGGAGTTTGGTCTTTTTGGGGAGTTTTGTGAAATTCGCAAAAATCCATGAGTTTGGGGTTCTGTGATTGCTGCTCGGGGACTGACTGCAAATTGGTCACTGGGGGGTGAGAAAAAATGTATATAGTTTGTTTTGCGTATTCATTATTATTATCTTTAGCAGTGGTAGTATTTCCTTTGTTGCCTTATTAAACTGTCTTTATCTCAACCCACAAGTTTCCCCTTTTGTCCATTTCTCCTCCCCATCCTGCTGACGGGGAAGGAGAAGGGTGAGCGAGCGGCTGTCCGATGGTTAGTTGTCGGCTGCTGGGTTAAACTGCAACACAATGGCAATAGCATGTCTCAGTTGTAGGCATTTTAGGGCATGTTATAGGAATTTCTGTCAGTCATTTCTGTTGAAGGGGTTTCAAACTGTGTAAAACAGACACATTTATTCATTGTCTTGACAACAAAGCCCTGATGCATCGGCTGAGAACTTACCTTGAGACAGTTACTGGAACAGAGTATGACGTGTAACAGCATAAAGCAGGAAAGAATGTAAATAAAACTGGAGCGTGGAAGTCTCCTGAGAAGTGGCAGTACTAAGGTCACCCCCTCTGTTTGTCTAATCCAGAACAGAAACTGGAACCAAAGTCTTGGGTATCCTCGAGCTCCTTCCCATGAAAAATTTCTTGCATTGTTGTCCCAAATACAGGTCGTTAGTCCAGCTAGTTCCTTGCAACTATTGGCTGCTGTATAGCAAACCATATAGCAAGCCACTATACCAAGCTACTCTTGCTTTCCAAGGTGTAAAGCCCCCCACCCGCTCTGTCCTTGGCTGGATGGACTTTATCAGCTGCTGCTGTCTGAGTACTCCTGCTTTCCTGTATGACACTCATTCTGCCCTCACTGTGGAGCTCTGCAGGTTACCCTCCAAAAAAAGGAAGACGGGGTGGGTAGCCCATGCTGGGTTTTAAAATGCAGCAGGAAGAACCCAGTTGTATTGTTTGTATCAACAATTACACAAAGCAATCAGAATATCGGCTGATCTGAGTTTAAACCAGCTTGCATGGAATGTAGCATTTTCATAAAGTGACAGGCCACTTTGTCACTAAGCTTTCCGTGTGGCTATTCAGTGTTTGGTTACTGTGCGTAAAATGATGTGTAGAGAATAGTCATCTCCTGAAATAGCGTAGTACTAATTCCCACATTCAAATGGTAGGGTAAAATCTCTCCTTCAGGAGTCCTTTATAAATCTGCCAGTAAGTGGCTACAGTGGAAGAAGGGAGAACGATTTGTCTATACAGGACCCTCACTTACATCCTCCCTTGCTTGATTTTGACACCAGGCCAGTCCAGCCAGAGGTCATGTTTGGACATTTTCCATCACAAATATCAGTACTGCATTTTGTGTTTACTGGTAGTTTATGTGCCAGGGTTGTTCAAGAGTCTCAAGCTGCATAGTAATTTTAGGAAAGCTGCTTCTTACTATAGGTGGAAATGTCAGTCTTTGCCATATTATCAAAGTGGACAGTGATACACTGCCGGTGAGGTCTCGAGATGATCTGCAAGTTATGGAGAAACTGTGGTAGCTGGTGGACAGCAGAACCCATGCTGTAGATATTTGGTGAGCAACTTTGAGCAACTTGCTGTAGCAATATGAGAAAAGTTGTTTGCAATTTGCATCTCCTTCTGTTACCCCAACCCACACCAACATCCTCAAATGGTGTTGCCCTCATGAGACTCTGCTCGGAAGCTGATGCCTGTGTTGGTAGCTCCTACCTTAGAAACACACCATTAGTCTCTCCAGGATTCTGTTGATTCAGAATCTCATGTTTCCCTTTCTCCCTGAACCGATAGGAGACTTTCTCCATTAATTGTCTCTTCGTTGGCCCCTCTCCTTTTCCCTTGGTTGTAGGAATCAATGCTTGTTGGTTGTCTAGTTTCAGTAGTAGCTCGTAGAGGATGCTGGCCTTATGTATGATCCAATCCTACTGCCATAAATACGTAATTATAAAATAAAAATATACACATACGTATATCCATATGTAGAAATATATATAAACCCCTTGTTTCTTGGTGATGCATTTTCAGCATTTATTGGGGAGCTCTATTATTCTTCATATGTCTGATGTGTGAAATAGAGTGCTTATTGATGCTGTCAGCGGAAGACAGGTGTTTAGGGACAAAGCATGAAACATGAATTCAATTATCTGCAATGAAACATCAGTTTTTCTCATTAGGGCTCTGTTGTTTTTATCAGAGCATGAGCAGCAAAAGTTTATCTTTATTGCAGTTATCCCCTTGAGTCTTATCTGTCAAATAAAGAGCAGCTGCTCTGTTGATTTTCCTATTTAATATAACTGCCTTGTTCCCAAGTACAGAGAGAACAGACTGTGTGAATAGGGTTGTGAATTTTTCAGTAGCATTATGAAAAATGAATGTTAATTTTGTTCTGAATATTATATTTTATTCTCCAAGACCTTCCTGGTCATTTGATGAAGGTAATATTTTCCCATATGTTAATTACCTTCATCTAAATTTTTAATAACTCTTGTTAGATACCACTTGCAGGTTTTATTCCTTTTCAGTTTTTTAACATTATTACAGTGTTTTGTCATGCACAGATACAAATCATTATGTTGAATTGTCGTCATGCAGTACCACAGCATTCTGTGGTAGCTGCTAAGGCTGTTATATGGATGTTAGTCAGGAGGAGCTGTTAGTCCACTGGGTTAGACCTTTCGTATAAAACAGCCCAGAAAATTTCATCCACTGATCCCTGTCCTGCGTCTGATAAATTCTGTTTGACTTTAAAAAGTCCTCCAGAAAGGTGTGTAATCTTATTCCTGGGATACAAGAGGGTGAAGAATTTGCCATTTCATTGACTGTTCCATGCTAGATTATCTTCACTTAAAATAACAGTGAATGCCCAAATCCTGGCCTGAATTGGTTTGAACACAATTGCTAAACCCTGGTTCTTGTTACTAGCTTTATCTCTGTATTTTACCACTCTCCTTTTTCTTTTCATTAATGTCTTCATACAGTATACCCACGTTACTCTCAGGCTGAGTTATCGTGATTGACATGAACTGATCTGTCCCCCTCCTGCCACAAAAAGGGGTATATTTTATCCTTCCCACCACATTCCTAGCAGTGTTTTTCTTCTACTTTCTTGATGCTAGTCCTGATCATTCTGTTCTTGCTGAATTAGTTTTCAGGTTTGAGAGGAATATATCAGAACACTTCGAAATAATTTGATTTTTTTGTTCTGAGCTTCTTCAGATGGTCAAGGCTGAAGTTGTCCTGAGCTGAAGTAGTTTTGACATGTGAGATAATTTGGAGCAGAGGTAGCCAAGAAATGTCTGTCTATGATCATCTGGTGTGCAAAAGCTTTCCACGTGCACATGGAAATGCTATAGCAAAGCATTCGGTAATGCCAGAGCTTTCTTCCCTGGAGCACCAATTTCTGGCTACGTCTGACAGGGCTGAATTTCACAAAGATTGACTTCCCCAGGCTAAAACAGGCCCTGGCATGCTCTCTCAGTCTGCATGAAACAAGTTCTGCCAGGAAAGTGAATTACAGCACCCGAGGTCAGCCCTCTGAAAAACCGATCCTCCTTCATCACCCACCTCCAGAGGCAGCCCCAGGGGTGACTGGCCTCCTTGAGCTGCCAGTTACTCTTTGTGAGCATCTTCTCTTTCCCCTTGATTTTCTTCCCCTTCTTTTTCCTGAGCCTTTGTCACCAACAGTTTCATCAGCTACCAAACTTGGCTATCTGTCACAAGGTTTTACTGGTCCATCTTCTAGAGGATTTTGACAAAGAAGTTATTTCAGTTATTCTGGGAATTTCTGGGGAGGGAGGGGTGTGTGAAAAGGAAAGGGTGATGGGAAATTGTCCCCCACAATCTCTCTAACTGCAGAAGACAAGTATGTCTGAACATGGCTTTTTCCCTTCTTCTTGTGGGTTTCAGTTTGGCTGTAGATAAAGATGTCAGGGTTTTGTCTGATTTTTTCAGAAACCTGATGCAGGCAGGGGGCCCATTTTAGCAGCTTGAAGCAAATAGTGAGGCTGTTGATCCGGTATTTCCATGGCCTATGGGTTAGAATAGCTAGCTACATTAAAATTGTTATAAATCATAATATACTATATAATATAGGTATATTTAAGTAGATGTAGATTGAATTTAAGTTTAAATTCATATTACTTCATTAACATGTTTATCAGAAGCTTACTACAGCATAAATACTATTGCATTTTAAGGTGGATATAATGAAGTTTTTGCTAGTAGCTTGAAGCTGAAGTTGGGAACTTCTCTAATGAAATGCCATGCAAACTTGTCCATTTTAATTTGTGCTTGTCACTGGATCTGTTTCTGAGTTTTATGCACTGTATTTAGAAGAAAAACTGATGTGAGGGGGAAGGACATTTGTCATGGCATGGTAATAGATTAAATGAATGCTTTTAAAACATTTTCAGGGCTGTAAAAACTATGTGTTTGGTAATGTCATACTAGGTCTAATTAGCACTCTTACTTTTACTTCTGCACAGTTAAAACTGCACCAAGATCTCCAGATCGACGCACAAGCCGAGGTATCCAGTCTCAGACAGGCTCTTTCTCTGCTCCAGCTTTGGCTGCAAGCAAGGAAAACCTCCCAGTGCTTAACACGAGGATTATCTGCCCAGGTAATTATGTTTTTGAAATCTGCTGTTCCTTATACTACTTTAATATTGCCTTCTGTCAAGTAACTGCTTGCTGTCAAGTAAAGATTTTTACTTCATGCCCTGACTTTGTTTGAACCGGCATACGCACCTTTGTATTGTACCATGTAGCAGGAAATGCAAAATCATGTAGAAGATTCCTGGAAGTCTGGCACAACACCAAATGTAGCAGAAGTGTTGTGTGTGATTCTGGAGGAAGAAAACTGAAATTCAGGATCTTAGAATCATAGAATGACAGAGTGGTTTTGGTTGGAAGGGACCTCTAAAGATCACCTAGTCCAACCCTCTGCCATGTGCAGGGACACCTTTCACTAGATCAGGTTGCTCAAAGCCTCATCCAGCCTGACCATGGACACTTCCAATAATGGGGCATCCACAGCTTCTCTGGGAAACCTGTGACAGTGTCTCACCACCCTCATTGTAAAAAATTTCTTCCTTATTGTCATAGTTTAAAGCAGGGTGTCAATAAACTGTGTGACAGACTCTCTCTGTTAACCCCCACCCTCCCACCAGAGGAAGGAAAAAGGAAGAAAAGGGAGACAGACTTACAAACTGAATATAAAAAGTTTTATTAATAACACTAATAGTACTAATAATATTAATAAGAAGAGAAATAAAGTATACAAAACGGTTACTGAGTTTCCCGGAGTTGGAAAGCAGCCAGCAGCTGCCAGGCAGCACCAGAAAGCCCTGGACTGGCCAGGAACTGGCCTCAGGGATGCACGGATAGGAATCTGGATCAGGATTGCAGGCAGGACAACGAGCAGAGTCCTTTTCAGAAGGCAGCCATGGACGAAGAGAGCAAGACCCTCGTGATCCCCCAGTGTTAAACTGAGTGTGACGTGCATGGCATGGAGCACCTCGTTGGTCAATGTCGGGTCACCTGTCCTGTCCGCCCCTTCCCGCAAGTATGACCCCTTCTGTCTCCTTACGTGCGGGACCTAAGAGATCTGTCGGTGACCTTGGCTGCTATAGTGATAATTATAAACAGGGGCCTTTTTCTGCATTCCTTTCCTACCGTTAGCTCAGTGTAACCATAAACATTAGGTGTTATCAGCCTTGGAGTGGACAGTGCCTGTAAAACATGCAACCAGCTTCAGAAAAATGCAGTTACTTAGAAGAACTTCGCTGTAAGGAAGATTCACTAAAAGAGAATTGGTTCTGTTTTAACCAAAACCAGGACACTTATGTCCAATTTAATCCTACCCTCTTTCAGTTCAAAACCATTGCCCCTTGTCCTGTCACTACAGGCTCTGGTGAAAAGTCTCTCAGTCTTTCTTATAAGCCCTATCTGTATTTTGAAAGGCCACAATAAGATTTCCCTGCAGCCTTTTCTTCTCCAGCTGAACAGCCCCAACTCTCTCAGCCTTTCCTCACAGGAGAGGTGTTCCAGCCCTCTGATCATCTTTGTGGCCTCCTCTTGACCCACTCCAACAGCTCCATGTCTTTCCTGTGCTGAGGGCTCCAGAGCTGGACGCAGGACTCCAGGTGGGGTCTCGCCAGAGTGGAGCAGAGGGGCAGAATCCCCTCCCTTGACCTGCTGGCCACACTGCTTTTGGTGCAGCCCAGGATGCAGTTGGCCTTCTGGACTGTGAGTGCACACTGCCGGGTCATGTCCAGCTTTACATCCACCAGTATCCTCAAGTTCTGTCATTCATCCTGTCAATGGAGGCTGTGAAGGGGCTGAGGTACAGAGCTGTGTAAAGTTCAACCCTCTGAAAAAGAAGGTTCTGTAGATACTCCTGTGGAAGCAGGTAACTGAAACTATACAAAGCTGTTGTGCAGTAAATAAGTTAAAAAAAGCTGTTCTTATCCAAATGCCATTAACAGTTGAAAAAAAAACACCTGTTCTTATCCAAATGCAATTAATACTAGGGGGCAGCAGTAAAACTGTTCTAATTAACTTGATTAGTATAGTTAAAACATAATGGAACTAAGCGTACATTTTTCTTTAGGTCAATTTAAATGAAAGCTTTTAGCAAGTACTTTTCTTTGTTTATGTGCATTACACAGTGTTTAGTAGAGTGACATCGATATTAGTCAAGGTAGGCATGGTGAGGCTGTGACCTTTCCACAAATTAGCTTAACTTCAGCTATGACTCTACCAGTTGTGAAAATGGTAAGGGTATTCCTTAGGAATATTTTCAAAGGAAAGGACCAAAGGAAAATCATGGACAGTTTGGAGGTGAAGATTAAACTAAAGCTCAAGTAGTCTCTTTGGATGTTAGGTCATCCATTTGGTTACTGTGCCAGCCAGTGAGTCCTGGACTGAAATCCTGAGTTTTCTTTTTTGTTTTCTTTCTCAATGGCGGTACCTGAGAGTCAGCCACTGCACCGCAGCATAGCTGCCTTTCTGCTCAAGAGAGCCAGAGACCTGGAAAGATAACCAATATTGGTAAAAAAGGAGATAGAAACACAATCATTCCCTATGTGAATTTAATGAATTTTGTCTCTCAGTATGTGGCTTATGTTGTGACAATATCTGTTTCTCTGTTAATCAAATACAAATTGTTGTTTTGATTTTTTTTTTCTGTTTTTGTTTAATCAGGTTTGAGGGCTGGCCTAGCTGCCTCTATTGCAGGAAGTTCAATTATTAGCAAAATGTTGCTAGCAAACATCGATCCATTTGGTGCTACACCGTTTATTGACCCGGATCCAGATTCTCTGTAAGAAATATTATATTTTTCCAATTTTATTGTTTTGCTTTAGTTTGCTCTTCTTAATATTTTTTTTGCAATCTTTTTTTTTTTTTTTTCCATTGTAAAGTTCTTGTTTGCTGTCATCTGGCATTAGACTTCCAGGTCTGAAAACAGGTTAGATTGCGCTATTTTGGTTGTGAGTACTGCAGAATCGCCTTGCAGCGGCAGAAATTAGAGGAGACATTTGCTGACTTAACTCTTGCTCACTTGTGCTGGGAGGAGGAGGAGGCCAGCAGTCCTTCAGAGCTGGCTTTTCCTGCCCAAACCGCTGGTCTGAACACAAGCTCAGCCACCAGCAAGGTGTTGAAGCAGGTCTGGGCACTTTGTAGTGGAGGAAGAAGAACATTCCCCTAAGGACCAGAGCAGTGAGGTGGAAATTTTGTCTCCAAAGCTATCTCTGCTTCCCAGAACTGGGTGTAGCATCAGCAGACACTTAGGGATGGTTTCTGGGTTGTGGGCTGGGGCTCCCCTGAAGCAAAGCACTGCTGTGCTGGCAACATCAGTCAAATCTCTAGCACCAGTTTGCCTAAACGCAGCCTGGGTGCTTGGCCCAGCATGCTGCTGCTGTCTCAGCACCATGCCCAGGGCAGCTCTTTCCTCATATCCCACTGTTATTTTGGGTATGGTGGAGATAGTGCTAGGATGGGGGTGTGGTACAGTTTCTTCTTTGCCTTTTGGGAAACAACTTGCAAAGGAGATAGCAGCCAGTCTGTCTCTTTGACTGCCGTTGGGTTTCCTCAGGGATATTCAGAGGAAACATCTCTTGATGTCTCTTGGTTGATGTATCTGTTCTGAGACCAACCACAATCTTGGTCCAAGCTCTGTGTGTTCAGGTACTGTACAAATGAACACCTATTTATCTGTTCTTTCCTAACAGGGAAGGATATTCAGAAAAATGTGTAATGAACAACTACTTTGGAATTGGGTTAGATGCAAAAATTTCACTAGAATTTAATAACAAGCGAGAAGAGCACCCTGAAAAGTGCAGGTAATGTAATTGTCAGCAACAGAGCCAAGATGTTTCAGTTACTTTCTTTTCCTTATCCCTTTATGTGAATTTTTCAACTTTTTCTCATCCTACAAATAGATATAAGAATGTGTGTATTTCAATATGTGAATCTTGTTTTACCTGTTTTCAGAAGTCGGACGAAAAACATGATGTGGTATGGAGTTCTTGGCACAAAAGAGCTACTGCAGAGAACTTACAAGAACTTAGAGCAAAAAGTTCAACTTGAGGTAAATTTTTTTTTTATGGGCAGGGGGAATATTTTTGCTTCTGCCATGTGTAGTGGAGAATTTGGGCTGTCTCTTGAAACCTTTTAGAGTTCTTGTGTCAACCCAAGCTGACCTCAGAGGCACTGTGTAAAAATGTGCTATGTAAATGGTGATTCCCCAGGTGGTTTTTATGAGTAAAATGTCAGTACTTAAATATCACACAATACCCAGTATAATGCTTCTTGTAATTACTGGGTTTTTGAAAAAAAAATTTATTATTGCATAGGTAGGATATATTTCTTAATGTTCACTGCATCAAAGGGGGAGACTAGGTTTTAAGGACAGTAATAGAAAGCAACATACACTAAACAGAAGGAAAGAGGTAAGGAGTCTTAATCCTTCAGGTTCGTTTTAAACTATCTGAAAGCTTGGTTATGCATACAGGGAGAGCACACAGATATCATAGTCAAAAATTCCTGACAGAAGAGGGGAGATTCTGAGTGTGCATCACAGGACTCCATCTACACCAGCAGAGACTTTCGCTAATAGATGTTGGGCACAGTCACACAAAAGAAGCAACATATTATCACAGCAGCAACAAATGCAGTGTAAATTATCTAAAGATGGTGGTTTTTTTCTTTTAAATTCTAATGTCAAATCTAAGTCTTCTTCACGATACTGGGAACTTAAAGGAGATAGAAATGATTACCAAATGCAGAAAAGGACTATGGAATGGTTACAGTTGTTTTCACCCAAAGAATATCTGGATTTTTGACCAAGAACATACGCAATTTCTCTTTTTACTTCATGTTAACCATTTCATGTGGAAGTTCATGATGTTTATATAAAGATAACTTGTTAAGTTGAAAGAATAATTTTAAGTTACTAGAACTCTTTCTCCTCTGAGATTAAGGAAGATTTTGTCTGGTAGCAGGAGATTGCTGTTATCTAAAGATTGAGTAATTATCAAGCAATTATGCGGTAGCTAGGGAATATAATGAAATAAGATTATGTGTGCTGCAGATAGAATTCTGATTTAAGGATCTTTGGAATAAGATTCAAATAAAATTCAATGAAGCATTCAAACCTGACCTTTCCATAATTATTTTTGAATATTTCTGGAAGTAAACCAGAAAGTAGAAATTTCATGTTTAGTATTGCCTTGCATTAATATTAGCCTTATGCTAAAATGTGTGATGAAGTGCATGGCATTGAAAAATTAAAAATACCGATTTCGGGAATTCGAGGCAGACCTCTACTATGATATAAATGTCTGGGCAGCACCTATTAATATCACAGCATATTTTGGATACTGTCATATTTTGATTAAAATGTTAAATTCGGTCTTGCTGCTGAGATTAAATCATAAAAAGAGAGCACTAAGCACATTCAGGAAATAATTCTGCATATTTTTCTCCTCCTGATAACATTGCTACAGATTTTGTCCTTATTTCCTGAGGATTTCTATTTCATTTGCATAATTGTAAGATCCTTCTGTAGAACCGGTAACTTGTGGTCATCTAGCAATCTTTTTTTAAAGGCAACATTACCTGCAAGTGTATGATCCCCAAAGTGACACCTGAAGCCAGCATTTATGACCTCGTATTTCCAACTTGCTTCAAATCTACGCTCATGGCACTGCTGTGGGACTGCAGTTTTGACTCCCGGCTGAATGGTTGGAGATCATTTGGCTCACCTCTGCAGGCTGTTGTACTGCTCTAAGTCAGGAGTGATCTCGCTGATGTCTGTAAATTTACTCTTGGACTTCAGCAGGGTGAGAGTGAGCTACGTCGTCCCATGATTGTGTTGAGTAGGACTTGGAGTTGCTTATGGGTTTTGGAGGATGAAGTGCTAATAAAGAAGGCCTGAATGGTCGGTCATAGGAGTGACCTCTTACCTGCAAAATCAACAACTGCTGCCCACGGCCAGGGTCCACAACTGTGTGGTCATTCCTAGATTTGCCTTTGCACTTTTGAGAGGAAAGTGAGTTATTTTTACAGGAAGCCAAGCATCCAATGCTAACAATGCTTACATTTAACTACATGTTTGTGGCTATGCCAGAAATATTCTTAGATATTTTTTTTTCCCTCCCTCTTTTAATGGATTTGCCTAAATAACAAGTGTATTGCAATTTTGAGAATGCCGATATAGGATTGAAGACTAGTTACTGAATGGGTAAATTAGGCTTTTTGTCATGTCTGTAGCGATCTTACTCAGGGAGATAGTTTTTTTTGCAAAAAGATTTTTAATCCTTGATAGAGCACAGTCTAAGTGCATGAGGAATTTCACAATAAAGAATGTGCAAATGTTTCTTTGAAGAGTCATGGAACACCTCTGCAGTAGGTACTACAGCATGTAGTATCTACATGTTTTTCAGCTCTGCAAAAATTGATGCTAAGATTGAGGAGAAGAGGATTATATTAGAAGTGCTTCACACCATGGAGGGAATCGTCTCATGTCAAACCTAGTAATGACTCTGCCCTCCCCTGCTCTGTTGAAGCTTCATGTGTTAAAAATGGCTGATTGCTTTTATCACATTATTTATATACTGAAGGAGCTTTTATCCATTACAGTGTGACGGACAGTACATCCCCCTTCCAAGTCTGCAGGGCATAGCTGTGCTCAACATTCCCAGCTATGCTGGTGGGACTAATTTCTGGGGTGGAACCAAAGAAGATGATGTGAGTAACGTTAAAAAGAAGTAACCTTCTGGGCAAAACCAGCAATAAGTACCATGAACTGCTCTTCTCATTAGTTTTAGTAGAAGCAGCATATATTTTGGATAGCAGCTCTTATTCAGGGAGGCTGTTTCAGTTTAAGCTGTATTGTCTTTTTGATTATTTTACTGAAAATATGTCCCATGATTTTTCACTCTCTGTTGCCTTATGTTGTGTCCATTCCAGCAAAATGTTCATAATAAGTCTTAATGATTTTTTATTTTTAAATGGCTCTATGGGTATTTTTAGAAACTAATTTTATAAACAGACACACAAATAGTTTCTCTCTATATTGTTTTACAGAATCCTGTAGATAAGTTTTCTCAGTTCCTGTTTGATATTCTAACAATAAGCAAGGTGAACAAGGATAATCACTCATGGTTTATACCTGAATTTTCCTCCTGTTCTTTGAACGGCTTTGCACTAAGGGATGGTGATTCAGAAAAGGAGGACTGATGCATTTAATGACTGATAATTTAGCAGGGGTAGCAATCTGTTTTTTAAATATTATTTTCAACGAACTTCTAAAATATTTCAAGATATCTTTTTTCCTTTCTTCCTCACATCTCCTAAAAAACATTACACTACACAGATACCTAAATGTCTTACAACCTGGAGCAGTTTTACTGCTGCCATCCACTTCACGCACAGTGCAACAATTGTAATTCATAGCAGATTATCCTAATTCTGCATGTCCTGATTTAGTGTGTGTGAGGTCTGAATCACCTAAAACTGTAGCTGCAAATTAGCTTTTGATTTTAGTGTAGACAATCCAGGATTTTTTTGCCAAAATGCTTTTGGTTTCTTGTGAGTCATTATCCTTTGCTTTTACATATATGTATACACATACATATAAAAATAACAAAAATATTTAAACATGTTTCAATGTCCTTTTATTCTTTTTGGTATATGTCACAGGATGGCAGTTTTGTTTGTATTTGGCTATGGATATCTAAAGTTTTGATATACTCCATGTTCATATTGATAACTTGAAAGCATCTCTGACATCTGCTCAGCTCCTCTTCAGGAGTTTATTCTTCTCCCTGGCCTCCCTCACTGAGAGAGAAGATCCGTCCTAGCTGTCCTACTGGTATACAGCAAGCGCGTGTGTCTTGGAGCAGTTTTACTGATATTCTTGGTCTTGTGGTGATCAGATGTGCCAGCGAAGTGACCTGTTTGTTGACCGATCATCAGAGGAGATGGTGGTGGTCTGAAGTGCTGCTGGGTCTGCTTATCTGGACGAAAGAGAGACATTGCCTTGACAGCTGCAGCTATTCCTGAAACATTATCAGGAGCCAAGCATGGCAGCCGCACGCCGACCGACTTGAGCGGGGCTTGTTTAGGCATGCTTTTTTGGTGTCCAGAAGACAGGCTGGAAACATGACCTGCAACAGGAAAGGAGGGAATTTTTTAAAAAAAAAAAAAAAAAAAAAAAAAAAAGTTGGTTTTCAGTACAGCTATGTCGTACTGGTAGAGAGCCACAGCAGACGGAGTTGTGGCTTGCCCATCCTTTTGCTAAAATGGAAGCACAAAATAAATGCCATTTTACAACTACTTTTTCTTAACCCATGCAGAACTAGCCCTGTAGGTGTCAGTTATACTTGTCAAAGCCGGATCAAGGACTCTTCATACTTTTTACCTTGGAATAACAGAATTACCGTCTTTTCTCTTTTCAAGACATTCACATCCCTGTGTGAAAAATGGGAAAATTTCTATGGAAATAGGAAAAATTCAGATGGAGAAACCTTTTGCTTCAAAACACTTCAGACCAAGTAAAACTGCACTTCTGTTCTTTGCCACTCATCTACTCAAGACCTATCTCTGCAATCCTGGGACGCTCCGAAGGGAAGTGCCACCTGGATGTGGCACTAAACAATGGCAGCTGTGTCGTGCTGTGCAGCCCTTTCCCTGAGAAGCTCTCCTCAGCCTCCTGGCCAAAGCCACCGCTCACCGTACTGGTGTAAAGGCTCCCGCTGGCTTGCTGGGCAGCAGGGACCAAAGTCCCTCACCCTGTTCCCCATCTTCTCCCTCCCTGAGCCGTTGCTGCAGATGCTATCTGGATTACACAGCCCTGGATCTGCACCTTTTTGTTCTTCACCTCCAGGAAATCCTCTGTTTGGGGGCAGGGCCTGTCTGGTTGTGTCTTGTGAGCTGCTTTCAGGGATTTTCTCCAGTCTGGTCTCGGGTGTCTCTGATACAGTTCACTCTGCCTGCGGTGCCAACTGAGGTAGTCCGAGTACTGCTCAGAGAGGAGATCTTTCTACCCATTAAACTCTTACTGGAGTGATTTCTCTTGCTGATTTTTCTCCCTCGTTGCTCCCTATTGCATATCAAGATGAAATGGTCAAGCTGCAAGTGACCTTAGTATGGTGTCTCCTGCCAGACCCAGCTGAATTCCAGCCTAAGACTTGTCCTGTGGCATGGCTGACTTTCCCTGCAGGACACCAGGTGGCAGTGGCAGACACGAGACTTCCTGTGCTTTTTGTAAGCTCATGGAAATTCAACATCTTGGCTGGATATTGGGATGTTTGTTCCATGCAGAAGCGGTTTTCATATTTGCAGTGGATAATTGCATACAACACAACCAAGATCCTCTTCAGTATGAAAGCTGCGTTTTACAAAGCCAAGCATGGACTCAGACGTTCGTTTCCAGAGAATTCAGAATATAAGAAGATAAGCACTTCTGAGAAAAAAACCCCACCATTACTCCTCTTAACTTCAAGAACCTCTCAGATATGAAGTACATTAACCAAGCGGAGATTTGAATTGGCCTTTCATCTTGCCTTGAAAAACATTTCTTAGTCTGTATGCTGAAACATGTCATCCTTCCTATATAAGGATATGCTTCGTCATTCAGATATCTGAAATGCTATTAGCGTTGCTGTTTTAAAGCAGTATTTGCCTCCTGTCTGTGGTGTCTCCTATGACTTTTGGGAGACAGCGTAGTTATTCTACAGTAAATAAGTTAGAGCATTTAAATGTTGAAAATGAATCTGTAAGTGAATCTGTGTTTCACTGAACATGCAATCTAAGCACTACATCAACCATCGAAAATGGAATATTTTCTTTACCTTTCAGATATTTGGGGCTCCATCGTTCGACGATAAAATCTTGGAAGTCGTTGCGGTATTTGGCAGCATGCAGATGGCAGTTTCAAGAGTCATCAAACTGCAGCACCACAGGATAGCTCAGGTTTGTTTCTTACTTGAAAGCACGCGACACAGTTGGCAGCAGTTTGGGATGCTGGCAAGTAGCAGGACTCTTGGTGACCACCACCCTATACATTAATAAAGCACTGACATTGTTTGAATTTTAACGGGTAACAAATCGTCTTCAATGATGAATGGAGTATAAAAGTGCTTCATTTTTGAGACAGTCCTGGAGAGAAGCCCCAGCTCCTAGTCATCAATGTGTTTCAGGTGGCCCCTCAGTTTCATGAGTATTTATTGCTCTGTAAAATAACGTATTTGTTTTTTTCCAGTGTCGGTCAGTAAAGATCACCATACTTGGTGATGAAGGGGTTCCAGTGCAAGTCGATGGAGAGGCATGGATCCAGCCCCCGGGAGTTATTAAGATCATACACAAAAACAGAGCTCAGATGCTAACACGAGACAGAGTATGTTGCAGAAAGTGTGTTATGAGATACAGTTACTAACATTGGTCTCTGTAATAAATCGGTTCAGCTTTAACATGAACAAAACAGTGCTTACAAAAATGTTTTATACCTATTAATAAACTTATATAACTACTTACAGTGATATAATTTCTGTAATAAGCTGGATAGAAAATTGTTTTTTTGTATAAGTGACACAGCTTTGTTAGCTTTATCAGTTTTATTGGGGCTATTCTTGTATTCTTATTAATATATTGTAAGAAGGAGGATGGTCAAAATATTTTATATGCTTTCTTTCTGTCTTTATTTCTCTATTTCTTTATTTCTCTGTTTCTTTATTTCTCTAATTCTCTCTCTTCCTTTTCTTTTCTTCTCCTTCTTCTCATGCTTCTCGAATTGTAGTGTGCACAATCATGTACTGGAAGTTTTAGCACAGTTGACAAAATAGCAAAGTTCTGTAACGTCCATTGTTCAGAATAACTTTCCACAGATTTCTCTCCTGTCTCTCTCCGTCCTCCTGATCCTCCCTCTCCCCATGACCCAGACTCAGACAGAGGAGACGCAAGCAGAACCTTGTCAGAAAGCCACTGGGGAGTTCGTGCTTGTCTGGGATTATTGTGTGAAAGGCGTAACTGCCCCTCAGCACTCCGTCTGCTAACTGGATGGAGTTAATGGCATTTGAACTCTGTTTTAGCAAATCTGTTACTTTTTTCTCAACATTTTTTAGGTTTGAATCCTGTATTAGTTTCTGATTTGGATCTTGCTATCCGCACAAAATGTGCTTGTATTATTACTGTCTTTGTGTTCTTACTTTGGAAGACACTTTTTGAGGATAACAGGGAGGCAAGAGACAGAGAGAGTGAGCTTTCAGCAGTGACTTATTCGCTATACTAAGTTTAAAAAAATTCAATGTCATTTTATTATTTATACAGCTTGTATTATTTATATAAAATTTAAATTTAAAAGTTTATTTTAAAATTTATTTTAACAAAAGTTTTATTAAATTTTAAAATTTTTATTAAATTAACAGTTAAAGTTGATATAAAATATTAATTTAAAATTTTTAGGTAAGTAAGAATACTCCAAGTGCTGTGAACTGAATGTATAATTCATTTTGATTAGGCCTTTGAAAACACCCTGAAGTCTTGGGAAGACAAACAGAAGTATGATTCCTGTAAACCTGTCATTCGATCTCCCTTGTCCCCTCAGCAGGCGGTTGAATTGGCTACAGAAGACGAAGTTGCACAGATCCAGCTGTGCTCACAAGCTGCGGAAGAACTTATTACCAGGTACAATAAAATTAGTAAGTTTGGTTTGGCAACCTAGACACCAAGACTGAATTATTCACGCAAATGCATACATAGACTTAGAAGCATATATTTTCCCTATTTTTTGATGAACGTTTAGTTGCCACATCAGTTATTTTATTTTGTTTTATTTTATTTTATATCTTATTTTCAAGGCTCAACTTGTTTATGTATGCTTTTCTGGGGTATTCCTGTAATTTTGTGTGTTTGTGTATTTTTTTTCTTGTGAAAACCAGTTTTCAGAAGGAGCAGTGGAAATGGAAAACTGGAAAGCTTCTTTGCAGAGAGCCTTTTAATTGAAACTTCTTGTTTTATGCAAAAGCAAAAATACATTTCTTTGAAAAAAAACCAAACCCTTAGAATTCAACCTTAGAAGCCAACAGTGTGGGTGCATCCACCTGACATTAACTTCTCCTGACCTTATTTCTCCTTAAAGCCTTGTTACTCAACGGTTTCTAAAAGATGAGCACTTTTCAATAAACCTGGAAGTTTTCTTAAAATATTGTACAAGTAAACAGTTAACACACTAACATTCAAGGAACTCAAATTGCCAGATAAAATCTCCATACCTTTTTGAATTTATCCATTTATCTCATTCATTGTTATTGCAGCTTTCTGTTTCATTCGTAATGCTCAAAATCCTCATCTCTGTGCCCCTGGACGCTTCAGTAATTTGTATGGGTTGAGAAGGTTGTGAGCTGATGGTATAAAACTGATCCCACAGCCTTGCTTATTTGCAAGAACTACTTTATTCCTGAGATGCAAGTATTTTAATAAAGAAGACACTTCAGTTTTCACAGGAAAAAACCCTAATTTTTTTTCTAAGAAAAGCATTTTTTTGTAAAACTGCTGTTCAATTCATCATGATAACAAATTATCTGAAGCATCAAAATCAATTGTTGGAGTATGTGTTGAGTTGCAGTGATAAGAAAGGAATTAAAGGACTACAGTTTTTTTTTTTATATACTGTACTAATGACTTAAGTAGACACAGAAGGATAATTCTGGTTATAAATTACCAAAAGTGAAGTTTAGCCAAGACAGCTTAAAAACTTTACTGTTCTAAAGATGGTGCTAAGGTAATTACAGCTGGAACTCCCATAATCTCAAATGGCGCAGCCAATTTTAATGTCACATCTGAAGGATATGCCTTGTAAAAAAGGTGTAATGTTTTTTAACATAACTTCAAGTAACTTATCCTAATGTGCTAGGGTTTTCCTCTGTAGTTTATTTGAATTAATAGCCCCAACAATTTTTGGTATGATTTTTGCTTAGCATTTGTGTTCCAAGACAAACAAATGTGTCTCAGTATTTCGTAGCAGAACACATAATCTGTGTTACGGATATCATTTATATGAGGTTCTGTGTTGCTTGTATTTCAACTTTGGTTATAAAGGACTATATTTTTTTAAAAGTGTGTTGTGAAAGGTATCTTTGTGTATTTTCTCATCTGATAAAGTTATGTGCTCTGAAGAATTATTCTTTAAAGGAACTAAGAAGTACTTTTCTCTTTTTTTTATATATTTTTGTAGAATCTGTGAAGCAGCAAAAATACATGGCCTCTTGGAGCAGGAGCTTGCTCATGCTGTTAATGCATGTTCACATGCATTAAATAAAGCCAACCCAAGGTTTCCTGAGGTAAAGGAAGAACAGAGATTTATGTATAAGTAAATAAGCTGTAATATCTATGTGCATAAGCTTGTGACGCAGGAGCCGTGTTGTACTCCCTATCCCCATATTAAAACAAGTTGGATGGTAATTCTTGAAGTTTTTGGTAAACAAGTCTCCTCAAAAACTGTACACATGCTCAAATTTAAATGAAAATGCTTAACAGGTGAGTGTATGCTGTATCTTCTCCCTTTTTTTGCCACTTTTTAAAGATGAAAGTAAAGGGAAAGTCACTTCTGCTTCTGAAGGGGCTGCTCTGTACAGCAGCGAGGCGTCTCAGCCCTTCACACGTGTAGGGTGACACTGCATAGCTGATGAATTCGGTAGAGATCATGCTCAGTGATTCTGAAATTTGTTAATAATGCTGGGAATGGGAGTTAGGAGAACAGCCTTTTTACAGAAGAGTATGAAAGAGCAGAGTCCCCTTCTGGTACTGGATCGATATGGTATCTGAGGAAGCAGAAGATACAGTTTCTGCATTCATCGGTGTCCTCCCCAGCTGCTAGTCTCTTCTGTGAACGCTGGACGTTAGAAAGCGACATTAATGACACTTAAAGTGCAGACTTACTAGGTTTTGTTGCAGGGGGCAGTGAGCAGTTGAAAGGGGGATAGTAAGCTCACTTCTGCTTGCAGACAACTGTGTAGACATGTCCCCGGACACAGAGTGGAGGCGTGACAAAGATGCTGTTAGTACGTACAGGTCAATTCTTGTGGATGCATCCATAGAAATGTTCATGCTTAATTGTTATCCAAGTGCATTCCAGAGAATGCAAAGAGGGTGAGGGGAAAGGAGTCTCCTGGTTTCTCTGTTCACACCAGACAATCTGGGTGTTTTCAGGAATTGGACCCAAAAAAGATTAATTAAGTAGTGGCTGTCCGTATCTAACCTAAATTTACATATGGTGAATACGCCCGCAACTTTTCTGCTGGCTTTTGTCATCCATAAAAATCATGGATTCATCTCACAGGTGGCTGGTCACATGATGATCTTCAGGATCATATATGGTCATATTAAATGAAGTTGGGGAAAAGACAGTAAATAGATACTACATTTTTGTTTTCTATTCTCAGTGCTGAAGAAGTTGTCAATGCAGAGCTAAATTGATGTATTTCTCCTAGAAGATGCTTGAGATCTGTGCTGCAAGCCCACAGTACTTATTCTCAGTCTGACTTGCATCACTTCAAATAACTTTTATGCTTCTTGTTCCCCAGAGCCTTACCAGAAACACTGCCACGGAGATAGCTGTCAATGTGAAGGCCCTACATAATGAAACTGAATCTCTGCTAGTAGGAAGAGTTCCTTTGGTAAGGTCACAAAATACATGGGTTCATTCCCTCATTCAGATTATCTGTGATTTGTTCTTTGCTGATCCTTTAAATTAGCACAGGATTTATGTCATGCTCCAAGAAGTTCTGTGAGGCCGATTGGAGGATATTACACTGCGTTTGTGGTTTGTATCGGAATGAGTTATGAATTCTAGTCCTAGGCTGGCATCCATCTTACTACAGATACTTAAAAGGTCATTGCCTGGGCTCTTCTTTCTAATAGTCAGTGGAGAGAAATAAGTATCCCTGTTGAGGTTGATTTACACTCAGCTGTCTTGGAGGCCTATCTTAGAAAAAGATAAATCCTCTTCTGGAGGTTTAGCTTTTAAGAGAACTTCTGGAGTTTTGTTATGTGACCCCCTTCAGAGTTTAAAGAGAACCTGGGGTGAGAGCTGTTCAGACTTATACATTCAGCTTCTACAGATCTAATTTGGGCAACTAAATCTCACCCATGTTCTGATACCTGGCAGGAATCATTTTATAAGCTTTAACTGGTAAGTGTTCAGTAAGCCCCTGATGGTATTTGAAGCCTTCGCATCTGCTTCTTTGGCTAGTGTTTCTGTGCCTGAAATGATGAAGACTGCTCAAAAATTGTTGTACCTGGATGTATAATTAGACAATTTCTATATGTGACATTGTATGTTGGTCCCTCACTCTACTAAAATAGAGACAGATGAAATGTAAGGTGTTGCCTAATGCATCAGCTGCTGCCATCATACACTGTTCTCCAAATTACCTTTCTCCTATGACAAAGATGGACATTCTTCCTTTAATATCTTCCTCTCTAGTTTTTTTCGCCTCTTCAGTTCTCCCTCACCCCTCTTTTCTCTGATCAAAGCTCCTGACAGCAGTAAATTGATGCCATTGTTGCATATACTACTTGGTAAGCTTTTTCTTTGGTTGCTATTTACAAGCTCTTGAGTCTTTCTGTTATGGCTTCTGAAGGAGGCAAAAGAAATGTAAATACATATACAAGGAAACTGTGATTCCTGACACCTCCTGTAAGATATGATTAACAAAGTTCATGCAATGCTATTAGCTAGATGACATCAAATGGTGAATTAGCTATAGATACGATTTTCAGTGAAGTCAGATGGGACAATTAAGCTGTTTTTTGGAATCTCCCAGATGGTTATGGCTGGAAAAAAAAAACAAAACTCTGTTTTGTCTAGATGTTTTCCAAAGGCACTATTTCCATTTTTGCTTTTTAAAAAGCATTTCCAGTCTGGAACAGAGCACAATTTTCTAATGTATTAAGGGAGAGTTATGACAGAATGTTTCATTTCAACTGCATGAAGTTATCTGAGCTCACTGAAATCAAATACTTTTGTATTAAAAATTTCCTTTGGGAAGGAGTTGAAAAAATCCTTTATTTTCACTGTTTCATTCATAGTGTTAATTTCCATCTTGGAAATAAGAAGCTTTTCCAAGATGTTGTAGGAGGACAATTTATCCTAAATTGCTGACTTTTCCTTTACCAGAATTGCACTGTTGTTTTGGGTTTATTTCAGGAGCAGTATTGCCAATGCATACACTTTCTGACAATCAGATGAGAGTGTTTTTGTCCCCAGGCAAAATGTTTTCCTTCAAGAATCAAGCAATTAGATAAGTGCTTGTTGAGAAAGAGATAACTCTTAGCTTCATTCATTTAAATAAAATAGATAGTTTTTAAAAAATGAAAACACGAGAAAAGTTGTACTTCTTCAAAGACAAGTGCGTCTTCCACTGTACTCCAAATTAACTGAACTGTTTGAATTGAAAAAAAAAAAAAGGAAGGTAAAAGAAAGATCAGAGTCTGCTTAACGGCCACTGAATGGTGCGAGCTTTAGAAGAGAAAAGAACACGATAGCAAGAGTGAGCTTGTATTTCCAGCAGTACTATACTAAACAGCGACATCTTACTAAAGATGGTCTCTCCTTTGAAAGGTGGTAACATATGCAAACTAGTGAAGCAAAGGAAAGAAGTCTGTGTTAGGTAGGATAAATTAATGGGGGCTTGTAATTTATCACCAAACCCCAACGACATCAAAATCTTTTTCCAGCACCAGAGATCAAAGATTCTCTTACAACTCCATTTTAAAAATGCATTCACTGGGATATAACTTAATTAGATCCTTTCAAAAGGATATTCTGCACTGCTGTGGGTCTGTTACTTCAAAGAGAGAAATAGATTTTCACATTGCTTTATTAGTGATTCCAAGCAGTTCATTCCAGGATTCAACTCTTTACCTCAAAATGGTGTTTCAGCAACCCCAGATAAGCCCAAAACAGCTTTGCCAGTGATCAGCTGCCAGCCTTACCTATTCCTTGCAGGTTCGACTTGCACAGCAGCTGCAGAATAGTTCTCAGACTGGGGTTTTAAGGAAAACTGATACCTCCAGGAGGGTTCTCAAAGTCTGGATAGAGCCAAATTCCCATAGGTCAGTAAGTCCCGTGCTTTTTGCACTGTGACCAGTTTCTTTTCCTCTTTGGCCTTCACTGATGTCTTTGGCTTTTTGTCTCCTGTCTGGGGCAGCAATCACATCCCTCTTCCCATGCCTGGTCCTCATTCTTCCCACCCTCAGCCAGCAGCAGTGGCTATCGCTCCATGTCTCACCTATTTAGAAAGGGTAGTGCAGGTATTGTATCACCACTGGGAGACCTTTGGCAATGGAACATCTTTGGTAGGATCCATTTCCTCTTGCTTGACCATGAGAGAGTGCTCTATCATATGTTATTGCAAATAATAACTCAGGCTTATTACTATCTATTCAATCTTTTTACACCACTTTTCAGATAAAGACTTTCCAGTCTCATGCTCTTACAGTCAGGTTTTATCTCCCTTGTGCTGGTAGTTGCCATTTCTAGTGTGTTCTAGTATTGGTGTTATCTGATAACTTTTGCTCTATGAAGACTCAGGAGTGCGGTGAATGATGACAGTGACTGACAGCTAGGTCCAGCCGGGCTGCATCAAAAGTCTCAGCTGTCTCAGTCATCGCTTTGTGTTTGGGACCATACTAAATGTAGTGTCAGGGTGGTCTGATGTGTCTCTGAAGGAAAATCTAATTTTGAAAGATTATATGTTTTCACTGTTTGTTTACACTCACCATGAAGTACTTATCTGTTTGTGTGGTAACAACATATCCAAATTTAAAAGTTATATCTTAATAAAGCTAAAAATATTATTTTTCTGGCCTGTTTATGAACAGCAGTTAGAAGCTCCCCATGAAGAACTGTTGTCTGATGCTTTGCACAGTGTGGAAATAGAGTTGAGAAAACTTGCTGAGATTCCGTGGCTTTATTATGTTTTTCAACCAAATGATGATGAGGTGAGTTTGATTAATACTTCCTGTTTCTAACTGAACTTCATTTGCTTTCGATAGGGAAGAGTAAGTTAGAATCCCTCGTGATCTGGAGAGGCAATTTCAATTGTGATGCTGGGTCACTTGTGTCTGTTGTGAACAAGCATCTAAGCTTAGGGCTTTTTTTGGTATTTTGTTCCATTTTGTGAACGTAAAGGTTTTGAATGGTTATTTAATAAATGAAACATATTCAGAGTTAAATCCTGACATTATTCTTTACGGAAATAAGATTGAGATTAACTATGAATTACCATCTCAAGCATGTTAACTGTTGTTTTCCGTTAATTAAATGTAACTATGTCTCTTCTTTCATGCAGGATCCCCCTCTGGATTATGCTAAAAGAAACAACAAAAGTACAGTGTTCCGTATAGTGCCAAAGTTTAAAAAAGAAAAAGTTCAGAAGCATAAGACCAGCCCTCAGCCTGGTATGTGTTTTGAAAGTACAAGAAAAATAGTAGCATTTGGGGAAAATGTGATTTTATGGGGTTTTTTTGGTAAGAGGTTACACGATGCACTCTACCTAAGAGTAAAATCAAACCGAAAAGCAACTGAGCTAACTGGCATCTTCATTAGGATGAAGATTTCTTTCAGTGCATTTAGAAAGTATTCAATAGGACCCCAAGACTTCCAAGTGAACCAAAGAACTACTGCGAAAATACTGAGATAGTTTTATCATGCAACAGGACCTGTGTCTTTGCTGGTGGTTACATATGATTAACTCATAGCAATACAAGCCATAGGTAAACACGTTGCTTCCCTGTGAAGCTCCAGTTCAGGTTTTTCAGGATAGTTTCAGGAGGTGCACAATAGCTTTATCACACTGGTTTAATTAACCAGTTGTTCTTAAATTTCAGATGGGTTTTAATTTCTGTAAGTGAGACAAATCAAACAAAAAGCCATGATAGTCAATACTGATTTTTTTAATTAGATGAAGTTGAACAAACTCCACTCTCCTCTCTTCCCACTCTTATCCATGAATTTACTTCCTGAATATTATGTCCAGGAGTTAAATCAGTGATCAGATGGTCCTAAAACTGTTTCTACGTCTTTATCTTTTTAATGGACAGTTGGTCATAATCTGCAACACCTTGCAGTTGTTGATCAGACTTTAGATTTCAGATTAGACTTCAGATTTCACTTCATCATAAAACTGATCAGCATTGAATGAAGTTGCAAAATTATAGCAATAAGTAGCATAACTATTTGGTTTGTTCAATAATTGTCATCTCATTAGGACTAATGTGGGCAACTAACCTTAGAGAACAATGTTTTACAGAGAGCTTCTTAATGGCCTATGTAACACGGTAGCTTAAAGAATACTTGTTGCATTAATTTAGAATACTAGAATCTGTTAATTAAATCCAGACTTGCTTTCTGCCATTGCTAAATTTGAGGTATGGCTGATATTTTAGTTTTATGTGTTAATTAGTTTTTGAAGGCTTCTCCTCTCCCTGGATGACTACTAATAAATTAATGGTGTAAAGCAGAACAACACTAGACTTTGCGTCACAGATCTTAAGGTGGTTTAATGTGAATTTGTTGGGACGTGCGGTTTTAAAGGCTTTACTGAAGAAACTGGAGTAAAGCTGAAAGCATGGCTGCAAAGCAAAGAACGCCAACTTTGTTTAGATACTTTCTCGTGTTAACTGCTAACCTGTAACCTGCATGTAAAAAGGAAATTGTCAGTTTTTGTGGAAATGACACCTCTAACCTTTCCCTTTGCTAGCACGGCAATTCTACTCTGTTTTCCACTCTCTTTGGCCTAACCTTTGCTTGTGATGCATTTGAGCATGTAGAAATTAAGGGGGTTTTGCTCTTAACTTTGGTAGTTCAAAAATGGGGCACAGATGAAGTTGCTGCTTGGCTGGATCTGCTCAGTTTGGGAGAGTACAAAGAAATCTTCATCAGCCATGACATCCGAGGCTCTGAGCTTTTACATCTGGAAAGGCGAGATCTTAAGGTATTTCCTTTGTGCTACTTTTCTGCTATTGACCATTTTCTTTGACAAAACAACAACCAACTTTTCTTCTTTCCCTGCACTTGTTATGTGCTTGTAGCTTGGCTTACACTGTGCAAATATGCAATAAACTAATACGCTCTCTCCTTTCGCCTGAATTTCTGAAGTGCTGACTTGTACTCGCAACCAGGAATATCTGTGTTACTTGAAATTTCATTTTTTTGCACTTTATGTAGAATGATAGTGTTATAGTTAATGTCAGAAGGCATAGGGAAAGCACGTTTGATATCTTACTGACATCAGTGTAATGTAATGTTATCTTCAAGAGTTCACGTTTCCGTTAAACAAGATCAGTGTGGGTCGTTGAAGCCGGTGATAATTTTGAATCTATCTGCTGCAAGGTCAGCAGCTACGAGCAGCTGACCTGCTTCAGGTGATTTATTGGATGTATGTTGGATATAGTGGGTGTGAGAAAGATAAGCAGCTCAATAAATTGCAGCCGTGGACTTACATGGCATTGCTGTTTACGTGTCAAAGTACACCTTCGCAATAGGTTTTCTCGTCCCTGACCAACCTCTGCCTGATTTTAGTTGTATAGGTTTAAACAAGAGCACTTTCTTTTGACTCCAGAATTGTAAAACTTCCTTCCTCTGAGGTCAGATTGTTAAGTTTTGCAGGGAGAAATCTTACCAAGCAGTCTGAGGCTGTTATTTGAGCTTGCTGATCTTTTTCAAGAATGACTTAAGTGCATCCATTATATGTAATAGAGGCTGTATCTTTGGGGATTCATTACATTACTTTTTCCGGGAACTCAGTAGTAATGAGTTCTTGATAATGTGTTTTGCAACTGCTTTTAGCACAGAAGAGAGGAAATAGGATATTGTATAAATTGCAAACGTTTACATTTAGAGTGCAAGTCATCTCTCCAGCCACAGTGCAGTAGTCTCCAGACAGAGGCAAGACTTTCATACAAATGTGCCATTTTTTGTAAAGTTTCTTATACAGTATGAAATCCAGACGTTATAAGGTAGTGCTCGCATTGTGTGACTGTTGCAGTAGAATGCAGCTGCTGAAGGTAGCTTTGTTTGAGATGATCTGCTTGGCTGTTGTGTCTTATTTTACCCTTTGGTATTAGGTTGCCTAAGCTTCTTTCCATGGAAGTTAAATTCCTTTTTTTCAGGATAGTTCCAAAAATTTAGCAATAGAGAACTGTCCAAGCAATCCACCACAATGTTCCAGTGATGGATGTTGCAAGTCCCTGTTCTGAATGGGCACTGAACAAATTTAAAACTGAACTGGGAAACTCAGCACCACACAATGCACGGGTTTGCTAAAATGTGAAGAAATCTTAAAAAAGAAAAAAAAATCAAGATGTCAAATTTGTTGGAATAAGTGATGGAGACTTCTGGCCATGCCTTGTTTCTCATAGGTACCAATTTGACTGCATGCCCAGAAGACTGGCACTTCGACTGAGTAAATATCTGCAGCAGGGTAATCATCAACCCGTTATCCCTGTTGCTAAGACTCGTGCTGATTCAGCATAAATAAAGCCCCATCACAAAGGCCTACGCCCTGAAATATCTAAAAGCTTGTCTTACATAGAGCCTACAGGGAGACAGACTTTTACTGTCCCTTCTATCTAGGGACTATCTGTCCCTGCTATCTTAGCAGATGCTGAGAGCTTCCAAAGCAGTGCTGCTCGTAAAAGGGAGGCCAGGCTTTTGGCCGAGCGTGGCTTGCACTCTGGAGCAACGCTGAATATAAACAGCACAGTTTAGCACTCGTCCTGTTCATTACATACACGGCATGATCTCTGCAAGGAGCTAATTAAAGACGGCTCAGGGAGCCTGCAGTTTTCTGCCCAGTGACCTGAACTGGTGTCAAGATGTGTGATGTGGTACCTAGGAAACGAGGAACACATTACACGCTGCCCTGTTCGTTTTTCCTCCCTTAGGCTCGTCTGCGCTCGATAGCCATCGGTGCTCTTGCGAGCTATCACGTCTCTACCGCCTTTCCTCCAGGGCAAGGCTTGTGCTTCCCGCCCAGCTACACGGGCTCGCCATCGATTCACGAGCTCCTCAGTTACGTGCAATAAATTTACCTCTATTACTTCTCATGTCTGCAACAGGAAAAATCGTTGCCTGTTTTAATTGAATCCTCTGGGCCCACCTTTCTTCCCGTGGTCAAAAGTAGAGATAAAAAGCAGTACGGAAAAGGATTCGATGAACCTCTCTTCCTTTGCATGCATCACTGAGATAGATCAATGCGTTGACTGAAGAATGGGACACCTCTAATTATATTTCTGCGTAGCTTGTGGATCCCATTCAGTTAGCTCCGTGTGAGCGACTGGCAAATGGAGAACACCTCCAAGAGGGACCATGTACCTCTCTCCACCCAGCCCCTGCAGTAACACCCTTTATCTGGCCTCCTAGGCCTGATTTTGCTTAGGGGAATCTCAGAATTTTACACCCATGTGATTTTCTTTTGCTTGAGGAAAGGATGGGTGGTGAATTGCAAACTATGCTGTAGAAACTGTAGAAATCGAGCTTGTGACTTATTTTTTAACCTTATTTTATGAGCAAACTAATTGAAAACTAGACTCTGATTTTTCTGGAATAAATACTGGCTTTCTTAGCATTGATAACCATGTTCTTATGCATGCAGTATAGCAGTAATCAGAACCACAACACGTTTGCTAGGATGAGAGTGTTGTCTCCTTAGAGCTCCGTAGCAACACTGGTTTCCTTGGAGAAAGGGTTTCCGTGCCTCATGTCAGCTTGATGAGCAGCGTCAGTCTAGGTGAAGCCTGTGCTGAGGACTGCGGCACTTCATCTCCGTGTTTTGCAGTAGAGTTTTGAAAAAGTTCTTGCGTGGAAAATGTTTTCTAAGATTTGTTAGTCTTCAGGCATGCTATATGGCTTTGGACACTGGGAATGCAAATAGGGTAGGCTTCTCATCTGGAAGATGTTAAGGAATATTATATAAATTATTTGGTAGTATTACATTGGTGGTATGTTTGGCCAAAATCTGTGGGCAAACCTGGAAGGAATGGGTTCTTGGCTAAGCAGACAGGGGCCTAATCACCGTAATATAATGCAGATGAAGAACCCCTGAAAGCCGTTGTAAGAATTTTCATCAGCTTTTTCATGCCCAACCTTTTTTTTTCTTTTTCAGCATTTTTTGAGCCTTACCTGCTCAAAGGCCTAGAGATGGCAAAGTGGTTAGGGAAAGCAGAAGGAGAGGTGATCCTGTAGTTCTAAGGCCGTAGCTGGGGAAGAAGAAAGGCTGTTTTCTTCCACAGACTCTGGCTAGAGCCTTGTCTTCGAAACCATATTTTACTGAAATTGAATTTTTGTTAATTAGATACCAGTTAAATATGGACAGATTATGTAGAGCATGATGAAACTCATGCATGCACAAAAATGCAGAGATCTTTGGGGATCTTGCTTTTTGAATGAGGCATGATATGCTGCTGTAGCCGATCCTCGTAGTCTGAGATGAGAGAATTTCTGCAAACTTTCTTGTATCAGTAGTAAACTTAGAATACTAGGTAGCATCTGGTGTCAGGAATGCATAAATTTTAACTTCCTCCAAACCAAACTATTACAGAAGCATAAAAATTCAGAGTTTGTCTTATTGGTGGGGTTTTCTCCCAAGTGGAAAAGTGTGGAAGTGTGGCAGAATTAATCAGAAGAGTCCCCAAAATTGTGATGAGGCTCTTGAGACTTGCTGTTCTGATCTGCATTACAGCAACTTCAACTGGAATGGTAATAAAACCGAAATCTCTTGGACCTGAAACATAGGCGTTGTTGACGATACTTGGTAAAGGTTGGTGGAAAAAGTGGCTGAGTTTTCTGGGAATTTCATGAAATGATTCTTTCCTCTGATCTTTGAAGTTTGGCAGCATCTCACTATGTTGCTTATCCAACAGAAGTTCTCCTCGTGAAAAATGTTTGTTCTGAAGAATTTGCAAGTTCTTGACCTTTAACATATGTGGCTTCTCTTGGTTTGGAAAGTATCCTTATGGGTTTTCCCTTATGTAGAATTTCCTCCACATAGCATCGAGGCTATTTCAGTAGTTTCAATAGTCATATGTATTTTTGGTTCATTGGAAGATTAAGTTTAACATAAAAAAGAAAATATTCTCCAAATCTAAAATGATAAATATTACTGTCATTGTGGGAGGAGTTGAACAACTACTACCTACATCATTTCTCTTAACTTAAAAAATAGTACATTTTTTTAATATGTAAGATGATGTATTAGTGGAAACAAAATATAAACTGATGTGATGTGGAAGATCAGGAGTTGTTTTCACATCAGTTTTATGAACAGCACTTGATCTGGGGACTTTGACCCTATCTTGAACTCTTTAATGCTGACACTGTTGTGCCAGAGCGCTGTAAAGGATGGTCATGTGTTTGTAGGATGGATAGTTTTCAGTTGAAGAAACAATCAGCTTTTTTTTTCATCTGTAATGTAACCAGAATTCAGTCTTCACTCTCTGAAAATTAATCCACATGTGAATCTGTGCTGTGCTACATTTACAGTTAAAAAAATTAATTCATGCTCATCTTACCACCCTTTTATTCCTTTGAAGAAATGCAAAATTAATTGCATGCTAACACTTTTAATTAATACAAAGTACAGATTTTCTGATGTTTCTGTGATTGTAGAGGGTAGATACAGTCTTTGTGTAGAGCATGTACAGAATATTATATATGGCTTCATTTTTCACTCTGTATGAGAATAATTATTTCAAGCTGCTTAATTACACTCTTTTCATTTTAATGTCTTTGTAATGGAAAATCTTCCTATTAAAATGAAAGGATTTCTATGTCAGAAAAATAGATAGTGAAACTTTTCTAAGGTTTTTTTATTTAATCACAATCTATTTACAGAAGGTGTATTCTACAAATAAGTAGTGTTTGACTCTGCCACTTGGTCAACATCACTATCCCAGGGATTTTAAGGAGTTTTTCAAGGCTGGGCTTTACAGATGAGGGAAGCAGATTTCCACCAAACTGAGCTGCAAACTCATTAGGGCAGTCAGGGATTATTAGCGCAGTTGGGCAGCCCATTCTGCTCCCCCAGTCACTGGACCAGTCAAAATTGAAAACGGATGCTGCTGAAGCTGTTATTAATACTGGAAGAGGTTTGCTACAAAAAATTCTTGTCTGTTGTCACTCACAGGCAGACGGGTCCCAGAAACCAATATTCGAAACATTTCAGCTGACGTGATTGCTTAGTGGTGGCTACAAGGAGATTGACGCTTGCGCTTTTTCCTTTGGGATGTGGCTGTCATGTCTCTGAGAATTTTTCTTCCGGCTCTTTAATCAGGAAGATCCGTGTTAGGAGACGTAACCCTTTTGGAATGAAAAACAAATGCTTACCTTTTGTATTGCTCTCTGAAGGGAAGTTGTCCTACATGCCTGTAGCCGTTACATCCACTTTCCCTTGAGAAACTGGGGATATGTGTGTGTGTTTGTTGATTAAAACAGACATCACAGGGCCTCGGATCAAGTGACATGGCTGGACAGAAGCTCTATTCCAGCACATCCTACCAAGCATTTGATTGCTGTGTTAGAGAGGAGGGGGAGATTGTTCTTTTTTTTGGCAGAAATTGTGAAAGGTTTTTGTACTTAGAAGTCAAGCGAAAGATGTTTTTGACAGATATTGCAGTGCCTTGGGTTGTCATTATTGCAGGTGAGTAATTTTCTGTCTGCAAGACAGAGAGGGATTCATTGTATACTCTAAGCAATTTTTTTGTTAGGCAACACTTGCTAGCGCCACAGAATCTTTGCCGGTTAATGCTGGCTGCAGTGAGCACATTTCTAGACATCTGTTGCATAGATAGATCATAATCAGTGGGTTTTTTTTTTTCCTTTTTGTAAATAAACTTGTAAATAACCGTCTTTTTCTTTTTTTTGCTTTTTTTTTTTAAATTTCTGTAGGACCTGGGGATAACGAAAGTGGGTCATATGAAGCGAATTCTCCAGGGAATTAAAGAGCTGGGCAAGAACACCCCTTTGTCTGAAGTGTAATGATGCTGGTGCTCTCCCTAGAGAGAGAAGGGAAAGTTGCTGGAGAAGCAAAGCTGTTGCAGGCACTTAGCTGTCTTTGTAGTTTACTCTATGGAAGAAGAAGCACCGGTGTTTGTACAGGCTAGTATCTCTGCATTCTTGTGTGGTGAAGAGCTTGCTGCGAGAGTACAAAAGGATTTGTGCCAAAAAAAAAAAAAAAAAGAAAAAAAAGGAAAAGGTGATACGTTCTGCAAAGACACTTCCTTGGTCTGCAAACTTGGCCAGTTCGGATAAGCACATTTTGGTAAATCGATTGGTTTATGGTGAACTGCACTGACCGGAAAATATAACCAAGAAATGATCGCTTTGCTTACGTGCAGCTCAGTATGCCTCTCTCGATGCTGCAGCAAGACACCGCTCTACAGCACGAGGTTGTCCGGTTATCCTTGCGAGGCACAACTCCTCCTGCGCAGGAGACCGAGAGCTTTCAGAGGTGCAACCCATGAGCCCGGTGGTGCCGCAGGTGCCCAGCGCTCGCTGGCCACCCTGAAGGAGCAGGGAGAGAAACCTTGCGATGCCGTGAAAGCAAACTGCGATGCATGGTGTGCCTGCCCGAGTCGCCTGTTGTTCTGTTGCATGACACGTCTGATACTTTAAACACTTGAACAACTTTTATACCTGTTTGAATGGGATTTAATTTATTACTACTTGAGTGTCTTTCCCAATCTGCCTCCTCCCCCCCCCCCCCAGTTTTCAGGCACTTTTCTATTCTTCAGTGTTGTGTTATGCCTAAAATGTGTTCTATGGCAAAGGATGTGTGGGTGTGGAAACTGAGCATTTGTGCCATATTCAGCAGATTATATGCATTATATATATGATTGAAACACTGTACAGTTAGATTTTTAAATATATCATGTACAGAAGGTATATCAGGTAACTAACTTATGAGTATTTTTGAAAGACCGGTACCTCACAAAAATATCAATTGGCTTCCTGCATGGAAAATGATACAGAATTTTCTCATGGTGCGTTTTAATGTAGTTATTCAGTTATCTTAAACATCTGTAGGATATTTGAACTTTTAGGCACTAATGATTTTATTTATTCTATTGTTCAAAAAGCAAGTTGAAAGAGTAATGAAAAATTTTTACAGGAAAATTCATTTTATTTATCATACATAATAAGAGTTTTAAAGTGTAGCAGCTGATTTGATTTTTGTGGGGTAAGCTTTTACTCATTACTAATTTACTATTAATTTAAAAAAGTCTCTATGCATTTCTTTACAAAGGCATCATTTTGTTTCTTGTCAGCACTCCTACATCAGTAGATCATAAAAATTTAAAAAACAAACTCTAAGGTTTTACACTATGCATGCAAAGATGAATCACATGCGAGATAGTAATCAGTGAGTGTAAACAGGTTAAAAAATGAAAACCATCTTTGTTTAGTAGTTGCATTAGACCGGAGTTTATAAGGTTATTTACAGTTTACTTAAACGAAATTAGCTTCATAATTGAATTTCCTGGTTAATTTTTCACAAAAATGTAAATTTAGTGGAAAAATAATTTGCATATAGCTACAAAAAAAAACCTACTTAAATGTTCGAGGTGAGATGATGTTGCACCACCTGCCAGAAAACTTGCACAGAATCGCTGTCTCCTTGCTGTTCCTAGCAACGTGTCATTGCGGCGCAAGGAACTCTTGACTTTTACTTAATCGAGTAGCTTTGACATTTCTTACAGGTTAAAGAGTATCTTAATACTTATTTGTGATTTCCTCGTAGGCAGCAGAGTAAGGTTTCATTTGTTTTTTCCAAAGCTTATTTTCCCCATTTAAAGGGGCCAATGTCAAGTTTTGCACGCTGGTTTTGCCCTCCCTTCCTCATTGGTATAATGGGAGTCGTCCCTTGGAATTGGGAATCTCCCTTCAAAAGTAAAATCTATTCCCCTCGTTGGTTTACTCCAAAAAAAAAAAAAAAAACAAAAGGAGCAAAACAGGCTTCATTTATATCCCATTGTAGTACTATGTGGCCTTGCTGCTGTAGGGAAATCATTGATTTTTGTGGTAAACAAACAGAAGTAAAAGGCCATGTTCCACTAGGTTCTCTGTAAAAAACAAACCCAAATCCCTTTCCCAAGTGACATGATGTGCATGCTATTGTATGAAAAGCATACGCAAACACTGGGAAGTCAGGCGAACAATGGGAAGATTATATATATTTTTTTAATGTCCTTGACATTCACCCCTTTAATGATGTTCAGATGGCATCTTCGCAAGTTGTATTTCCTTTTCTCTCTGTTTCTCCCTAAGCTGTGCTACATTTTAACGTGTGGCAGCATCCTAATATACCGATGTTACGGTAGACTACGTAGTTAATCTTCCTGGTCGATTCAAGGATGTGATACGTGAAAGAACTTTCTTTGCTTTCCTGATTGTAGGATGCACTCTCTTTACAACCTTCAGCCTCGCTATATGCAATGCGGTAATACGGGCTGTGGAGCAGGATCTCTGCAGGTCGCTGTAGAGGTCTACGCTGCGTATGTTAAAAAAATGGGAGCTGCTTTTAGGCAGGGGAAATGGGGAAATGTTGTTTGTAATGCAACTTTCTTATGGCACTCCTCAAATTACCTCAGTACAGGACAACTGATCAATTGTCTTTGTATAGTTAATTTTTTTTTTAAATGACCACCAAAGAGTTTAACTTTGATTGTCCTAAGCAGAAGGTTATTTTAAAAGTGCAAGTCGAAAAAAAATTGCAAGCATCATTTATGCTGTATTTATTAGACGCCCAGGAGAGCAAATTTTATGCAACTCTATGCCTTAGACTAGTGTTGGCTATCAAATCCAAATGTGTCTGACAAGGAGGCTCAAAATATTTTATGGAGTTTCTCTGCCGAGGTCATGGGTCGTAACTGTGTTTACTGATGTGTTTTTCCTAAAGAAAGACTTTTGAACACAGTGTTACTATCTCATGATTATTGTAATTCCCAACTATGGTGGTTTTTTTCCTTACTGCTGTTAAAGTCCCAGCTCATAGAACTAAGGACATATGTAGCTAGTATAGTCATAGTTTTTAATGACCTGAGTTCTTTATAATTTAATCCTAATTTTTAACATGCTTCAAAGCATGCATCCCAGCATTTCCACAAAAAAAAGGTAAGCACATCCCCTAGAAGTAGTTAGTCTTTTGGAAAACAAGTTATCCCAGTAGATCTGGTGCACCGCAATTCAACATGCTAGATTGACCAAGACAAAAAATCACTATACAAAGTCTACTGGATGATTCCCCCGCGCCCCCCTCCCCCAGCCGAATGCAATTAATTTCCATGGTCAGTCAGCATACCTTGAAATCTGGAAGGAATACAGAACAATCGGCGTATTTTTGAAGTGGCTGTATTCATATAGCTGCAAAGCCCTACGCCTCAGGAAGAAGAAGAGGAGAAATGCATATTTGAGAATGGCAGCAGATTGCTACGTGCACGGTTCTGTTCTGTCATTTCCAAATAGGAATTTTCCCGCTTTCTGTATTCAGCTGCTGTAGCAACCTCTGATTTGGGTCACCCAAGTACTGCCTTTATAATGCCTAATGCCTTCTTCTTAGAAACCGAATGAAATCAGGCAAACATATGGTTGTAGGGATTTTTTACAATACTTTAAAGAAAAACATTCCTCAAAAATGAAAATTTTTTTATGATGGCAATTGCAAATTTTCTTTATGCTACATTTTTATGTATTTCCCCTTTACCATTATTTTTTTCTCCTGAACATCTCGTTCTTTCAAAGAAAAATCTTTTAAACTTGGAAGAACAGTAAAAAGTAAAGCGTGTGATCAAAAACCCTCCCAGACTATTTCAATTCCGTATTTCTTACTTTGGGACTGGAGTAAATGTACTTGGTCCTGTAAATAATAAACAGAAATCATCTGTCTCTCTCCGTCCCTGCCCAAAGAAATTCGTCCTTCAGTGTTGTATGACTGTAATCCAAACAAGAGGAATTGATTTTTATTTTTTTTTTTAAATAATGGCCCGTTTCATATTTTCTCCTGCTTTTTGTAGAGAAATAGATAACCTGCCCGTTTTGACTTCTTAATTGAACTCAGTGATGCTAATTCACTTAATGAAAATTTCATAATGCCTTGATAATGAACAGATCTTATTTCAAGAGTAAAATTATCAGTATTTTCCAATGCAACTAATCTTCCTTTCCGGAAGACTGGCAGGAGACCTTTTTCACATGTAATGAAAAACTAATATATAAAGAAAATGAGAGAGGATGTTCCATAGTCCTACTTTGAAAGCAGATGTAAAAGTACACATTATACCTAGATAATTCCACAATGGACCTGCAAGACAAAAACCCCCACAGTAATTCCATTTTGCTTGATGCTCCCTATTAACGATTTCATTACTAATGTTTACTGCTGTTTCTCCATTGCTCTCTCTGTGCCCTGAAGTTTCAAGTTCTTGCATGTAAGTTTGACAGCTCTGGCAACTAATAATTAGCAGTGCCAAAAGTCTTTGTGAAAGGTAAAGTCACAAGTGATGTATATTGTTGAGGATAACCGAGCTGGAGCAATACATTTAACTTACAACCAGGAAATCATCTTGTGACTCGTGTGAGTAAGTGACAGCCACAGCAAATTAAATGAGTAATTACAGATTTAATTTTTTACCCCAATAACATAAGTACCTCTCAACTGCAGCGTCCCGAGTGTTACATTTATACCCTGGGCTCTCCCATTTTTTGATTCTGTTTTTGTAGATTGTATGTTTTTGCGGTATGATTTTCATATCATCCAGGTGTGATGCTGCTTATTCTAACTGCGAAGATTTGATGTTTGCAGGAACTGTACGTGCTGTCTTGAGTAAAAAGAGGAGTTTTTGATGACTTGAGGATGCTGAGGAGTTTGGACAGGACTTAAAATATCTCTGCTGCCTCTTCAGAGATGCATGGTAACGGCAGCAGGATTGATAAAGCATCATTTGGTAGTTGTCAATAGAAGATCTTTATTGGTTGTATAA